TTCTGGTACCAAGATTCTTATTATGCGTATATTTTATTAGTATGGATGACCTGTCATAACTCACATTATTGGTTTAGATGTTGTGTATAGAAGGATGTCATCATCATTTGATTTTAACAGAACTGTTTTCTTAATTTTTTATTATATGCTGATAAAAACACACTTTTATTTAAAATTGTGTGGTGTCTTTCTTCTGGCTATTAATTGACAATGTCACTAATTTCTCTTATAATTCTGAATTCCTTGACTCTGCAGATTGAGCCAGGTATCATTTGCTGTCATTAAAAAATAGCTACTGTTAAATATTCGTAAATATCTACTTATTGTTTCCAACAATTTATCTGGTTCCTGAAAGTCAACTTCAGCTCCTTCACAGACCTCAAAAAAGACCTATCAGTCTCTGTAATTTGTGTGTATGGCAGTTTGCCCTATGGGAAAGGGGGGGGAGTAGGGTCCTTTCCCAAGTACGACACTCACATCAAGTGATTAAAATATTATTTTATTAATCGTATCGCTTAGGTTTGTAAGCAATGGCTGATTGTGGCCTACCTATCAGTTAATTGCATTTGCACCAAAAGTCATCTTTTTATGTCCCCAGGCACCAGCTAGCTTCCCCATTTTTGTCCGTTTATGTGACCTGAGGATTGATGAATTGAGGCTACAGAAACTGCTTTACTATATAAAACAGTCAATACTTTTTATACACAGCTGCAATGCAACACAGAGATTATAGAACCTACAATGGAGCGGAAATGGTCAGAGGAGGGCATGGCAGTCATAAAATATCAACAACTGCAGTTGACTGAAGATAGCAAAAATACTCAAGGAAAAGGAATTAATTTGTCTGGCTTACCAGCGGCAGATTTTGGAGTTGAGGGGATCAGTACATTTCCCATGTTCAGGCTCTGGATCCATGCCAGTGGCCTACTAGAGTGAGCAAATAAAGATCATTTGAAAGAAATGGTATATTAAATATGTCACCACCTCTAAAATAAGTGTTTCATAAAGATAAAATCTTTATGAAATACTGAAATTGACTGATGTGGGCTCCTGGCAAATGAAGTACGAGATGCTGAAGACAACCAACCAGATGAGGAAATGGAGGCCCCGAGAGACATGTTAGTAAGTAAAACTCATCTTTCTTTGCACCCTCAATCAGAGCAGTCATCATCAGGGGGTCTTTACAAAATATGCAAAGACCACAGACAGTAACAGAGAGGAGGTAGAGGCTAGTTATTTATGGGTTTCACTTTCAGATATGCCCTTATGGCAGAGCTTTCCAAACTTTTCATGTTGGAGACACACTTTTCGGATATGCATAATTTCGCGACATAGCGATGGTCGAGATGGTGTTCTATTTCTTGAACATGTCACTTCAGTTGTGGACGCATCACCAAAAGATGTGGAATAAATGGCTTTGACTCGATTCCGCATGCGCAGTATATGTATGATCCCTCAAACGTCTCTCTAACACTCTGGCCCCTATTCACAATCTAGTAATATAACATGCCCAGTCCAAGTAAGCTCTTCTCACCTTATTTACTGTTGCTGACTGGCCACCGTGCCTGGCAGCCTGTGGCTGGCTGCTGTGGCCGACTAGTGTTGCTGACTGGCAGGCCTCTTTCTTCCCCCAGACCCTTTGTGCATCTGTTTCTCTCCTAATCCCTTTGTGTGTCTCTTTTTCCTCTTCCCCTTTGTGTGTCTTGCCCCCCCAGTCCTTCTGTCTGTCTCTTTGTCCCCACCAGCCCCTCTTTGGGTCTTTGTCCCCCCTCAACCCATCTGTGTGTTTCTTGTCCCCTTTTAGTCCCTCAGTGTGTCTCTTTGACCCCCGCAGCCCCTCTCTGTGTCTTTGTCTCGCTTAAGCTCATCTGTGCGTCTTTTTCCCCCCGATCCCCTATGTGTGTCCCCTTCCTTACTGTGCCCTTCTCTTGCCTCTCCGTCCCTCACCCCCTCCTGTGCATATCTTCTGTCCCTGTGGCAAAAATGCCTCTGCCACGTGTTCTTGGAGGGCAGAGGCATTTCTGCCACAGGGCCTCCTGCCAAAAGACTATGGGCCTTTTAAAAACTTATGTGATTTATGTACTTTTGTACTCCAGAAAGAGAGCCCTAATTCCCTGGAACTGTTTTGGGCATAGGACCATGTGCATGGTTGGTCAAATGTATGACTTCCATGGAAACCCCGAACCCCTAAACTGATCTGGGTGATTTTTGGATATGTTGGTCCCCCAGATCGGGGCTTTCAGGGGATGTTTCTGTGTTTTGGGGGTACTTGTGGGGTGTTGTTAGAATGTATGTTTTCTGTGCCTGGAGATAATTGAGTTTAGTACAGTTCCTGACTCAATTATCTCTCAGGCACAGGGGAGGTATTATCCTGTTTTGTGTGGTAGTGTCCTGGAACTGAGAGCCAATGTAATTACAGTGTGTACTTTGTCACAGTCCCCTCTCAGGTCCAGTGGGGAATGCCCCTGGAATATGTTATGGAAAACACCTTGCATGGAGACTTGTATATAAGGCCATTTGTGGCTGCCATTAAACAGTTCCTCTTCAACCTCAACATAGAGCCTCCTCTCATGTGTGGAGGGAACAGCTATATTCACAGAGCATCCTGCTTTACTCTCTGGACTACGAGAGGTCTACCCACTGGAAGCTGGATCCTGGTCTTGGGTCCAGGGTAGGTGGAGGACAGTGAGACCCCAACCAAGCTGTAATGCTGGCTGTGGGGTTTACGGTGGTTATGGTGTTACAGTGTGGTGCTCATGGTGCTCGCAATTACTAGGAAGCAGCAATTGGCGGAGGCACCCAGTCGGGGTGCCAGGTGGTTTGTCACAGTTCCCATCTCCCCTTCCTGTTTCCTTCCTATATCCCCCCTTCCTGTGCCCTTCTTCTCGCCCCACTCCTGTGCCCTTCTTTGTCCTCTCCCCTCTGCCTGCTCAGCCCCACCTCCGTCCATGTATTGTGGGAGAAGAGCTTCTGTATCCCCTACTTAGTCTGACAGGAAGCAGGTCTGTGCTCTCAGTGAGTACTTCCTGTCAGACCAGGTAGGGGAACAGAAGCACTTCTACCGCAGTTCACCTGCTCAGCCAAGCTACATGGCGTGACCAGCTGAAGGGGAGCGCTGTACACACACCTCATTTGTGTGACACACTTAGAATGTGCAGCCGACACATTAACATGTTGCGCTACACAGTTTGAAAAGCTGTGCCTTATGGGATGTTTGCATGCAAAGCAGTGAGAATGAGGTACAACAATATAAATACAGGTTATAAGTGAGTATTAGTGCAACAGTAAATACTCTAACACCTAGGTGAGGTCCCCTTAACCATCACCAAAAATAGAAATCACAAATATATACAAGGTGGAGTATCTTACATGCACATTCAGGAGTAAATCTTTATATTAGGTATTGTCCTACAATAAAACATAGAAAAAATACAAATTATAGCGCAATATTGTCTGTACTTAAAATTAAAGTGCCAAAGTGCTGATAAGGTGCACTCACAAGTGTGGAGCCAATAAATGATAGGCTCAGACTTTCAGCTTTGTGCGGTATAAAAGGTCCCACTCCCTTTTCTGTGTACTTGATAAGCTTCCACTCTTGTGACTGCAGTCACAGATTGGTAGTGAAGGTTCAAAAAGTGCTTTATTCAAGTAAAGTGCACAAAGCGTTATAATAGTAAAATAGAAGTAAAATAAAAAACCTTACAGTTCTGATAAGTCCTTAAAATTGGTAGAATTTTATTGCAAAACGTGTTTCGCCTCTCCAGGAGGCTTCCTCAGTTGCTATCCTTCTATCCGATGTGTTGTGCTTCTTATAGGGGATTCTGATTGCCATTTTCCTGGTGCCGTTCATCTCTGGTGCACTTCCGGTTGGTGTGTTCCATCATTGGACTTTGGCACTTTAATTTTAAGTACAGACAATATTGTGCTATTATTTGTCTTTTTTCTATGTTTTATTGTAGGACAATACCTAATATAAAGATTTACTCCTGAATGTGCATGTAAGATACTCCACCTTGTATTATATATTAGTGGGAATGAGGGCTTAGTAATCAGCATTATGAGGTGTGGGGATATAAATGGGGTAGTAACTAGCAAGTAGCATGTGAACATGGCATTCAAAGTATATCTTTCATGTCCTGGATGCTAATGGTGGCCCTGTTCAGGTATATCTGAGAAGAGTGGAATCATGGGTATATCAAAAGCGCAAACTACATTTTCAAAATCCAGATATATTTATCACGATAAAATTATTTTACATATGTTTTCTTAAAATTTGACAGAGCTGTTTTAAATATGTCACTATGGCGTCTGCAGATTTACATTTAGGACTGTGTTTAACATATAAATAAATAGAAATTATCAAGCATTATGGTTGAATACTTAGTCCTTTTAAGGAACTAAGTAACCGTTTTTACTGCACATCTAATGATCTATTATACAGTCAATAAACACGGCCAGGGTTATTCACTAAACTACAAACGGTGGAGAATTTCACATTTAAGGCCAAAGCTGTCAACCTGGAATGATAGCTAAATTGAAAATAGTTTTTCCAGTATGTCTTTTGTGGCCTTCAATTTGCCATTTCCTTGTCAATTCTGAGCAATGTTGGATTTAGTGAACAATACAGCAACTTCGTTTTTCACGAAAATAAAAAATAAAATAAATATCCCATTTGTCAGCCATATAAGAGCAAATGAAAACAAAGTTCAGATTTTTTTCATGATGCTGTTTTTATTGAAAAATGTCACATTGTTTTTGAGAATCCAAAATAAAATAAACAGTCAGTGTGCTGGGATTTATTCTTAAAAATAATGCATTTTATTTCTTTTTTTATTTTAACTCAAATATTGTAAACATTATCACATACAGTGAACACCAAGTTTATGACAGTTTGTAATATTTGGTTATTTAATCTGTTTATAAACCAAGGAAAAATAAGTATGTTCACAGGTCTTGCAAATATGTGAGTATTATTATTCACTGCTTCGACCCTCCATGGTCTTCTTCAAGACAAAATAATCACTGACTCAACAACTGAATGCGTGAATTGCTAGAGTATGGTCTCCACATGCCAGAAACACGACCCATGTCTTGTGAACTGTATCTCAGAACCTAAACCCATGTCTCGTGACCTGCATCCCAGAACCTAAACCCATGTCTCGTGACCTGCATCCCAGAACCAAGACCAATGTCTCATGACCTGCATCCCAGAACCAAGACCCATGTCTTGTGAACTGTATTTCAGAACCTAAACCCAGGTCTTGTGACCTGCATCCCAGAACCAAGACCAATGTCTCGTAACCTGCATCCCAGAACCAAGACCAATGTATCGTGACCTGCATCCCAGAACCAAGACCAATGTCTTGTGAACTGTATTTCAGAACCTAACCCCATGTCTCATGACCTGCATCCCAGAACCAAGACCCCTGTCTTGTGAACTGTATTTCAGAACCTAAACCCATGTCTCGTGACCTGCATCCCAGAACCAAGACCAATATCTCATGACCTGCATCCCAGAACCAAGACCCATGTCTTGTGAACTGTATTTCAGAACCTAAACCCAGGTCTTGCGACCTGCATCCCAGAACCAAGACCAATGTCTCGTGACCTGCATCCCAGAACCAAGACCAATGTATCGTGACCTGCATCCCAGAACCAAGACCCATGTCTTGTGAACTGTATTTCAGAACCTAACCCCATGTCTCATGACCTGCATCCCAGAACCAAGACCCCTGTCTTGTGAACTGTATTTCAGAACCTTAACCCATGTCTCGTGTCCTGCATCCCAGAACCAAGACCCATGTTTTGTGACCTGCATCCCAAAACCAAGACCCATGTTCTGTGACCTGCATCCTAGAACCAAGACCCATTTTTCGTGACCTGCATCCAAGAACCAAGACCCATATCTCGCGACTATCATGATACCATATGGATCTTCATGCATCTAACATAATAATGTGTTATTTACACCAACCCTAAAGTTTACATGTCATTAAGAAACAAAGTGCTTATGAATATGACAACTGTATACCAGTGTGGATATTTTTAACACAAATTATTCCTGCTTTGAACTAAATTAATAAAGGAGGGAAGGGGTGTAGTTATAAGTATCTCCTTATTGTGTGTGCACAACTCTGTGTATTATTTTTCTGTATTTTACTCAGCTCTACCTGTTGTATGGGTATCTCTGTAGAACACACAGCTCTGTGTATTGTGTACGTATTTTTGTGTTGTGCCCAGTTCTGTGTGTTATATCGATATTTTTCTCAGCTCTGTTTGTGGTGTAGTTATCTCTGTATTGTACTGAATTCTATGTATTTTACAGATATATTTATGTTATGCTGAGCTTGTTTTATTGTATGAGCATCTCTGCTCATGCTCAGCTCTCTGTATTAAATGAGTATCTCTGTACTGTATAGTGCGGAGTAACATTTGTGTGTAAGTGTGTGTGCGTATTTATATTTAAATTAGAAGTAAAAAAGAATGAGTGAATTAAAAGAAAAAGAGTAATAAAGTGGGAGAAAATATATGAGTTAAAAGACAGCTTAAAATTAAACTAATATATGAAAAATAGTGTGCACAAAAGAAGGTGTGTAATGTGAAAAAAAAATAATAATTGCATATAACAGTAGACTACTACCACTGAACATGAAGCAAATATTCAAATTAGGCAAATGAGTTACAAACATAATTCAAGACAAAAATCACAATGTGACATAACATAAAATACTACTGTAATTTAAATTGTATGTAAATGTGGAGTCTTGAAATCATTTATTTGTACTACATATTATTATACATGTCAAATGAGGTAAAAAAATAAAATAAAACAGGTAAACATCAACCTCCTTTCAGATCTCTTACAATCCCTCATACACAAATATAAACTAATGATTTTTGTAACACTGACTACTAATCAGAAAAATAAATACATTAAATAATAATATATAAAAAGTAATATATAATTTCATGAATTATGATGATTGTTGCAGGGAATCGTGTTCCTCCTTATAATGTCCTTTTCATATAATGCTAATGCAAGGACTGAAATATTAACATACAAGAATATATCAAATGTTAGACACGCACAAAAGTTGTTATAGTACAGGATGGGGATCGAATTTACAGTCTCTCTGCAAAGATGCAGAGGGACAGAATTCAGCCCTGGCAAAGAAAGGGATGGTGATAAGACGGTTGTGCAAAAGGAGAGCAATGCGGAGACTTTAGATTTTTGTATGTAAGAAGGAAGAACAATTTTAATATAGAGGGTGCTGATAAGAAGGGGCTGGTTGTGCAGATGTGGGGCTGCACTGGCAAGAATAGCGTGTGCTGTGGCAGGATGTGTTGGCTCTGGCAGGTATAGGGTACTACAAAGGAATAGGGACTGCTGAAGGGAAGGTGGTTGCTCTAAACCAGGGCTGACCAAAAGGTAGATCCCCAGATGTTTTAAAGCTACAGATTCCATTATGCTTTCTCATTCTAAGGCATGCAAAGCATCATGGGAGTTGTAGTTCTGCAACATCTTGGGATCTATCTTTTGGGCACCCCTGCTCTAATCTGGAGAGAGGGTAATTTGCTGAACTGAAAGTAGAGGTCTGCATGAGAAAAATAGACCGTTGGATTCAGAGAAGAAGGTGTATTGTGCCAAATGGAGAAAGGAGCTGGGCTAAAATGAGGGGAGAGTGGACTGTACTGAATCAACAAACAGTGGGTCTACTCAAGGTATGAGTGAGTGGTAAGACCCGAGAAACGCTGAATTGAAATGAATTTGGTCTTATGTTTCAAGTTTCACAGTTATTTACTGCAGTGTTACATTTAGCTCAATAAAAAAAAAAGGTAACACAATACTCCAAAATGTTTAGAGCTCCATGGGACCTATATGACTGAACGCCACATTGAGAAAACACCTATTACTGAACATGCTTAGATCAGATTAATGATATAAGAATTAGTCATTTCATTAATTGATTCATTCATTAATTGGGGGCAGACATACTCCCATCCTCTGTGTAGTGGTCAGATCTAACATACAAACACAGATTACAAGTTCAGACAGTCTGGTTATAATGGGTAAGAGAGCCTTGCCTGTTACAGCTATCAACCTAAAGCACAGATATATAAAGAGCCTGCAGCTCTGCAGATATTCCTAAACTACAACGCCCATGATCCTTTGCTAGTCTTTTCCTCCAAGGTGCTATAACTTAATACCTTCTGGTCGATTTCCCATTAATTTTGTAGGTAGGTAAACTTTGCAAGCCTTTCAATGCTATTTCATGTTTTGGGAAGTTCTCATATATTAATTTATATAAATAAAGTCTGTATACCAGGTTTAAATCTAAAAAAAATCTAAATAATAAATTGACTGCTATATAATAGTTAATATATTATACTGGGAAAAGGGTTGTATATATTTCATCCATTGCCATATCATCCCAGCAGGAGCAAAATCTTGCCATAGATGGGGTGAAATAATCTTAACATCTATGTATGTGTAATGCGTAATATTTAATGTGTACAATTCTATTTATTCATATACCATATATTTACATAGCTAATTAAAGAGATGATTGTGCATTTTATATAATATTTGCATAAGTATCATAAATGGCTATTAATATTGAAGATGAAAATGTTATAAATTGTAGTAATCTGATTTTATTTATTTTTTATTGAAAGTAACTTTCAATTCCAATAAAAACAAATACTCCATATGTTCAAAATCTATGTGGAGCAATAAGTGGAATAATGTTGACCAAATGGTGGGCTTTATGGAGAGAGTAACAGAAGGAGATATATGGTGAGGTATATAGAATGCTTATATTGACTATATTTTAAGAAGGAGCTACATTATAATATAGTATACTCTCCTAAGACATTCTGAAAGAATTAATAACTTATGGAAAGACCATTTGACTATTAGTTTTTAGAGAGAAAAAGAACTGGAGAAATACACATTTAAAAGAGTCATTTTAAACTATGCATTCACACTCTCTGAAAATTAGATTGTGTTTCACTTTGCTTGATTAAATTTTTTTTATTCATGTGTATTTCACAGTATTTACACACGTGCTGTCTGAAATATATGTCTGTCTGTCTATTTATCTATCATAACAATATATATACACGCACAAAAATGCCCAGGCAAATTAATTTAACATGTAAAATTAATTTAAAATATATTTAGACATCAGACACATTGCATTGTCGGTTTATATGTGCTCATAAACGTTTTAGATGCACAATTAAAAAAGTTAATATTTACAAAAGAAAAATAGGTTGTGAAGTTTAAGGTCTAACAACTAACCCCTCCTATTTTAACATAAATACAAAGGAATCAAACAGCTTTCCAAAATGTGTATCTCTAACAAAAACATATATATATACATATTTCGTTACCCTAAATCTGCTCTAAATGGAATATATGACAGTAAAGGTATAAAAATGAAAATATAGGAGAGTATATGTGTGTGTGTATGTGTGTGTGTCTAAAACATATATAAAATACAGGGTTTGACTATTTTTCGATACTGCATAGTGTACTTTGTGAACACAGAAATATACTAATGAAGATTAAACATATACAACTTTGACAGTTATATCGAAATTCTGACGTCTATTCTTGTAAAAAAAAAAAAAAACATGTCAACTAAAGTTCTCATCGTATTATAGTTTAAAACTTGAATAACGAAATAAATGGAGCTACAGAGTATTAGCCAACAAAAGGCACTAGTTAACACCACATGGACAATAGTTTCATTCGTTTCTATAAATAATGCGCTATTTCGATAGCAGCTGATTTTAACAGTGCAGAGACTGCGATACTTATCGCCTAAAGCTCGCAGGAAAGGGACGATCTAACAGAATGATCATTCTATAACTTTGGAGAGAGAAGAAGAATAGATTGAGAATTAGAGAAAGGGGGAGAAATCATTTTTCTAGTTTATACTTTTAATGTCATGTATGCTTTAAAAAATAATGAATGGAGTTTAGGTGTAGAAATATATTGTAATGTCTGTGTATCTCTAGATTGTATATTTCTGTCTATTTATCTATCAGTCTATCTATAGATTTTTTAACTTAATTTGCTTATGTAAATGCATAAAAATAAATAGATTCGAAATGGATTAAATTGAAAAAAAATGATGTGTCTAAACCATTATTCAAATGGCTCTATGTGCACTCCCCTCTGTATTGTGCTATAAGCAATCCTTTCTATGCAGTGCAGTGTGAAGGCTTGCTGATCATGATGTGTCTAATTGTCGTTAATAGACAGAATGTTGGGGAATTCTGTTCCCAGACATGCTACTAGGTCCCCAGCTAGTTAACGTCGGTTTGTATAGAGTAAAGATTCGCTTTCTATTTTAAATAGATGCCAAACTGTGGTTATGGTCATTTATTAGGATGCCTCAATTCTTTATATTGAGAAAAACAAACACGATTTGACACAGAGGTCTTCGTGTTACTGTTATTCCAGCATAGATTTAGCTTCCGAATGAAAAAAAAACATTAGATTTAAATATTTTACATGAAAAGAGTGATTTTTAGTAGAATTGTTACAAATTGCAGCGCGTTGTATATTTATTACCTTTCCTGTAGATAGGTGGCAGTGTTTTCAGTCGGTTTTATTAATTGCATTTCAATCTCATTATAGAGAAGGTGTTTAATTCCATACACACTGTTTAGGGATAGATGAATATACTTTGGAAGCCTTCATTGCCAACTAACTCAAAAAATCAGTTAAACTGGTTACTTTTCGAGCAAGTCAGCTCACCACAACGTATTATTTAGTAAATATATGTATATATAGAATAATCATATACGATTGATATATTAAAAAAAAAGTGTATATATATAAAGTTATGTAAATATAATATATAAATATACACACAAATAGAATATATAGCTATATATCATGACAATATCGATACGTCTATATAAAGGACGAGTCTTAACTAAATATGATCATTTAAAATTACAGTTATGTTCAATGCTATTCACAAAAGGGCAGAAAAACAACAATTTTAATATATATTTCTTTATTTTTCCTTAATATAATTTGTCTTCAGCCCAGCCCACTGAATCAGTGTGTTAAGATGTGATAAAACACAATATGGACTAGATGTATCTAGCACCATGGGATATTATTTCATAACACATGCATTCTGATTATTATAGATTATATATCTACCCACTCCTAGATCTGTATATAGGATACATGGTTAATACAGATATACTCTCTGCTTTCAAGATATAATAGGGAATTGTAAGATTAATAATTTTCCACTTTACTAATACATAATGATGCACGTGGATGTTATTTTAATGTAGAAATAAAATATTATATCTGCATTGCTTTATATGCTATATATCTGTCTGTCTGTCTGTCTGTCTGTCTGTCTACCTATCCATCCTCCTGGCACTATGCTTACTTATAGCTCTATTGAAATACAGGGTAACATTTTGCAGACATCTTGAATCAAAACCATAATAATTTACCTTTCATATATTAGTTTAAATTAATAATTCCTATGATCGAATATAGTTATGGATCACACATAATTTAGCCTTTATGTTATTTAACCCCTAAATTCATAAATACATTTAGAATAGTGCAGTAAGGCTTACTAAATTTATAATGTATTCACTAAACAGTGCATTATGGGCAGTTGACTCTCAGAATGTAAGCCAAAATTTACATAGCTGCAAAATACCTCTGGTCCACATAGTATTGCTGCAGTTTACCTAAGCTCTAGGTTTAGTGAATGAATGCAAATATTCTCCATGTAAAATGTGTATTTTTACACAATCACTGAAATCTTACTAAATTCATATTCACATCACAGCTGATTTTGTGTGACTGTAATTAGGTAAAATACTCAGCTAACAAACCATCACAAATATTTAAGTAAAAAAAAAAAAATTTGGATAAAGCTTTTATAAACTAGTATTACACCTCTAGTGAAAGAAAAATAACAATTCTCCTCTTTTTCATCCATTTAAAAGATAATAATAAACATGCATTTTATGTACATCACTCCATGTGGCAAATCATACAGCTAAATATACATATATAGCATTTCTTTATATAAATACACACTCACACATGCTAAACTGCACAGCCTATAAAATGACACTAATCATATGTACAAGCTATTATATTTCAAATATATATGCACACACCATACAGATTAACAAATACTCGTAGCCAGACAATAATGAAATACAGATAGAATATGAAATCATATTTTTCAAGCGTTGTTGTCATTACATTCGAATCCTTACAGTTCTTAATATACAACTTAGCTTTTAATATCCTGAATAAGTCTATATTACATAATCAAAAAGAAAACAGAATACATCCCTTACAAACATACGTTGCATACAGAATACACACATATGTTTTATGTGAGTGTGCAAATAACCTTTATATGACATATACAGAGAGAGAATATGAATATATTGCACAGTGGAGATTTTTTTTTTTTTTTTGCATTTGAGTAGATAGGATTTACTTTTTGTCTCCTAAACAGACCAGAGTTTATTTTTACAAGTGTTTGTATATATTTATTTCTTTTTTTACTTTTGGGTTTTTATTTTTTTTTTTTTTTTTAGAAATAGGCAAATTTGTATGTTATTACACATCACAAATAAACATTTATTTTGGGGATCACTTAATCGCTATATTGTAAGGTAGGTGGAAATTAATTTGCTTTTTCTGGTGTATTTTAGCTCAACTCTGCTTCAGCTTGCCAGTGCCCTAATGAGGAAAATCTAGCAAATCCTGCTGAATAATTTATACCATAGGAAATAACTATGCAAATCAGGTGTGCTTCCCAGTATAATAAAGTCACGTGACGTGCCCAGACAGACAAGCAAGAGACTGCACAATTTGCATAGAGGAGCAGCTGAAATTAACCATTACCCTGCTGGCTGGGAAGGCAATACTTTTTAGGCTAAGGGGAGGAAACAGCAGCACAAGAATGAATTTGTGGATGTATTTAAATACCTACTGAATAACTGGGAGCCAAACAAAAATGTGCAGTATTTTCCCTTCAAGGCTGGATAATTTAGGAGCCATATAATTGGGAATGGAACACAGTAAAGAGCCTCTGCATCCTTTTTTTTTTTTTTTTTTTAATAAAGAGAAATGGATGCCTAGAAACTGGGGGAGCTTTAGCCTTGATAAAACCATTTTGATGTTTTTTGATGACTGTGTGATATATCCTAGGTTAGAAAAGATGTACTACATTGTGTGCAGAACTGTATATTCTGTACAAGGTGTATATATTTACAATTTTAAATAGATAATTCCATCGTCTACTAGAAGGCATGTTTGGATATATATATATTGTCAGACGTATACATATTGTATGTATGTCTGACAATATACACACACACACACACATATTTTATACACATGCACTCTTTAAACCTTTAAACACATATAATGGGATGTTTTAAATATATATATATATTATATACAGTGTCTGCGATACAGACAAAAACATTAATTTGTAATAAACAATCTGACATTCGAAATAACTATGATGAGTATAATGAATCTGTGTCTCGGGGAGTCTTTATATGAATGCAGTGAATATCAGTTATAATGGCCTGATCGTGTTCTATCGCTCATTGGAAATACTGTGAAAGATGTGTAAACAGCAATCATAAACACGTTTATATTTTGATTTATCTGTGGAGTCCAAGGTAGTCATTGTGTTATAGATCTGTTAAATGTCTGTCTAAACCTGTACAGATATATTGCACCTGGCCATATATACCCTTTATCAACATTACACAGCTGTACGTACACATAACATATATGATATTAACTCACACGGATCTACTCATCGAATATCCTTCAGCCATGAGAAAGAGAGGTATTAAAGATCAGGCTTAGTGCAAGTTACTAATCATTGCTTTACTCCGCAATTTGTTATCTCGGTAAGGAACGAGTTAGTTCAATAGAGAAGAATAATTAGAGGTTAGAGGAAACCAGATGGGAACATTAATGAGATGCTGAAATGGGAAGGTTATCAAATAGCAAAATATAGCAAATAATGGGGAAAGAGCATAAAGGCCTCAATGGCAGCCAGCAGAGATGGGGTTAAGCCTATTTATTAGTATATAAATTATAAAGCTATATCACATGTTGTGTGTGTTTATATATATTTATTTATTAATTTTTATATATATAGTATTGAATACATTTATTTGTATTTTATTTGTATGGTTGTCATTGCTTATAAACACTAAGCTATATGGCTGCATGCAATCTAATGTGATCCAATGTCTCGGTGAAGGTATGTTAATATAACATTTTACAATGATATATGCCTATATATGCTAGTGACATGGCCATGTACACTTTTTGTATCACGTGATCAGTTTGTAGTGTTACATTTCTAAAACATTACACGTATACAGGTTATTTGGGGTGTATGCAGTGTGATATTTGATAATGTATGGTATGTAATAGGACATGGCACTAGACACTATTAATAGATTTAATGTATCCAACCTTTTTGAACACATTGTTACAATAAAGAGCATGAGAGTCGAATTTGGAATAGAAGGTATATGGGTATATGAGCGAAGGACAGGGGATCGAGCATATCCATCTCACAGTGAAGGTAGGTACTGCTGGCTGTGTACGGTATGTGTATGTAGAAATACTCACCTTGTTATGTAAAATAAATACCCACCATGAATTAGCTACCATATTTAATGTCAAATTAATGGTCTGCTCTATGTAATGATTGATCTAGGTATATGTATAAACACATAACATATATACAGTATGTTAATCCATATTCAAACACATCTATCTGGCTGATTGTCTGTTTTATTCTATTATATCTGTGTGTGTGTGTGTGTATATATATATATATATACACACACACACACACACACACACACACACACACACACACACATCAAATTTCTAGCTAATCCATGCAGATATTTACCACATTGTAGAATTAAATAATAGGTGTGCGTTCTTTATTAGTGAGAACTCCCCCCATCCCCCAAATACTTCCTCTATACTATATTAAGAGCTGTTTATGTTGTGTTTAACATATTTTACCAGTTCAGCTATATAATTTAGAGGTTGTGCCAGCCAGTAATGCCCCCATACCGATGTACCTATCACTGTATCAGTGATCTCCCAGGTTAGTCCCCCTGAAGTTAATGCACCCAGTGCCCGGGTTAATGAGGTGCCCCCGCTCCCCCCTCCCTGTGAGAAATAGCATGCATTAAAACCAGCATCCAGCCGGCCTATCCCGGGGTGTGACGTCAGGACGCAGCACTACGTGTAGGCAAGTAGGAGAAACCAAAAAAAAGGGGATTTTTTTTCCTTTCTGTCCATCTCCATTTCCAATATGGATGTACAGATCCCAGGGATGCCCGGGGCCACCGTGCAGGGGGTGCTGGGAGATGGGCGAGCTGGGAGAGGACCCCTCACAAGATACCTAGACATGGCAAGGGCAGGGTTGGGGGAGCTGGGCATGACATGGTTAATAACAGGCTCCATTCTCCTGTGTGGATAACATCTCACTGCACTGACAGCGGCTTACAGCATCTCACTGCACTGACAGCAGCATCCCAGGCACTGGCAGCGTCATATTCACTGCATCCCAGGCACTGACAGCATACTGCTCCAACACTATCCAAACCACTGTCAGTCCAGCATCCTTCACTGCATCTCGCGCACTGCCAGCACCCTCCCACACTGCATCTCGCGCACTGCCAGCACACTCTCATTGCATCTCGCGCACTGCCAGCACCCTCCCACACTCTCACTGCATCTCGCGCACTGCCAGCACCCTCCCACACTCTCACTGCATCTCGCGCACTGCCAGCACACTCTCACTGCATCTCGCGCACTGCCAGCACCCTCCCACACTCTCACTGCATCTCGCGCACTGCCAGCACACTATCACTGCATCTCGCGCACTGCCAGCACACTCCCACACTCTCACTGCATCTCGCGCACTGCCAGCACACTCTCACTGCATCTCGCGCACTGCCAGCACCTTCCTTCATTCTCACTGCAGAATTATCCACAATCACTGCATGTCACTATCTCACTAATGACACCCAGTGCTGAACCAGAATCCCAATCAGCCACCAGCTTCCCTCCAGTGCCAACATGTTTCTTTACTCTCCACATCCCAAGACATGATAAACATCTTCTAACCACATGCCACTGCTAGACACGCTCCCACTGCCTGAATCTTAGAGCGCTCCCAGCACTCACACCATGGCTTTCCTTATATCCATAGCTTCCCTCCCTACTGCCACCCACAGCTTCCCACACTGCTGTCACAATCTATCAGGGCTACTTTTCATTTCCCAGCCTCTATCTAGGGGGCTCCAATGCCATCATCTTCCATTTTTATACCTGAACCGTTCCCATTTCAGTGCACTTCACTCTCTCTACTCTGGTACCCAACTACATCCTCAGCATCACTGCATCCCAAGCTCCCAGCGCACTCTCAGCATCTCTAACACTTCATTGTCAACATTGACAGTCCCAAAATAGCAGGTACTCCTGGATTCCCAGCGCTCAGCCAGCATATTACTGCAACTCCTTAACTCACAGCTTCCAGAAATCCTGCCGACACCTCAACATAACCCAGGAAACCCAGAATCCTGCTACACAATCCCAAGATCATCGAGCATTCTCTCAAGAGAATCTTCAGCTTCCTTCTCAGAACATCTTCACAACATCTTCCAACTCGAGGACTCAGCAATGCAGTCATGTGTGTCTTCGCTTCTCTCTTCGCTTATCTCTTCTATATAGTCCATTATATAATGGTCCATTGCTCAATCCAGAAGACAAATTTGAACTTGAACAAAATTCGGCTTCCAAAATTGTTCAAATCACTTTTTGTGGATCTAGATGATTTTCTTTACGTGGTTAAGCCATTGCCACGACTGCAAAACAAACCCTGCCAGGTATGTGCAGCTTCCTATTTAATTGTCCATTTCAGAAAAAAAATTAAAATAATATTAAAGGAAAATATGGTTAGTGGCTGGTTAGAGAGGCTGGATCCAAAACATACAGCCACCTGCCAGATATTTCCAAGTTTAAAGGATGTTCTGATGGGTTTTACTGACTGCTTGAAAGGTTTTTTTCTCTCCCTGTCTTGGAGTTAAATGGGATCTCATAAGTTATCCCTGTGCCATTGAGATAGGGGTAACTAATAGGCGTGTATAAAAAGAAAAATAGATCATGCAGTGCCTACACAAAAGATATCAATGCACTCTGGACAATGAATGGAGAATTTCTCTTAGGATTTCTGCACACGTCTACAACAGCTTGGACTGCTCTGAGAACCACAATTGAATCCCAGACACCATCTTTTGAGAGCTGTGTGAAAATAAGTATAAGACATCAAATTATTACAACTAAGTTAAGTGAGGGCTTCTCTCCCTCCCCCTCACCAGTCCTATTCCTCCTAATTCAGCCACCCTCCCATCACTCCCTCCCCCCCATTTCCCTTCCTTACACACTCATGCTATATATCTCATCCTATGTATTGCTGGGGGATCACACAAGTCTACTCAACTCAAGTTTTTTTCCAAAGGATTTAGACCAAAATGAAAATCCAACCATTATATATGAAGATAATCTACAGGATTTCCACTGCAGGACGTATAATGGGAGCAAAGGAGGATATACCAAGCCAACAATTCGACAAGAACAAGTAAGTCATTATTTTTTTTCTTTTAACTCCGTTAATAATATTACTGAAATAAGCATATGGCTATACACATATACCCCTTCCTCGCTTCTATTCTACAGCCAAGACGTCAAAACAAGAGACTTGATTATTCTCCTGTGAATATCCTTTCCCAGTTCTAAAAATAAACCAGCATCTTTTTAAATAGATTTACTTTATGTATCGCTTAATTATGTAGAGATGTCAACAAATCAGCTAATTTTTTTAATTTTAAAATATTCAATACCATGCTAACAGCAGCAACCTATATAGGAAAAAAATGTTACTTTTTAATTTAACCACAAAGTTCTCTCACCTCCTGCACAAATATAGAATGTGCACACACACACAAACACACATACAATAATATGCACAAAATAAATATTAAATATATATTATGTGTATATTTTTTCATATGCGTATATATATAGACACAAACAATTATATATATATATATATATATATATATATATATATATATATAGTATGTGTATGTGTGTGTATATATATATATATAATATGCACATACAATAATATATATGTATATATATAAATATATATACATATATTTTAAAATATACACATAATGTATATATATATATATTTAATTCATACATATATAAAACACGCCCAGACTATATAATGAATGTTCTATAGGGCTATTCTTCTATATAATTACACAGACACACACACTCAGTGCCTGTATAACATGCTGTGTGTGCCCACCTCCTGTCTGTCTTTTTAGTCTGCTCCCTGCACTAATGATCTATTCTTCTTGCTATCACAAGACAAACTTCATAACCAAACGTTTGCCACCTAAGACAAACAGTTGCTGGATTGTTGTGAATCCCTGGGAAAATGCCCTGAGTCCATAGAGAGCACATCCAATTCATGGCAGACCCTCTGCCTCAAGAGACCTCTATCCCCTCAGACATAATTGTCATGCTAATTAGACAAACTCTGAACTTGATTTTGAATTCCCTCTCTATTTTGGCTGGGGTTTTTTTCTGTGGGAAAAAAAAAATTCTAGTCTACAGTGTGAAATTAATTAATCAGGCTTTTCCAGAAGCCGGCACACAAAGGATGTATTTTATTAGGCTTAACTTTATTTTTTTTTTTTTTTAAACTAACCCTCTTTTCTAACCTTGAGTTCTGCAGAGCAGCATGCTCATATTATTAGTTAGGGATCTGCAGTAAGTATACATTAGCTTTTAGATTACACATTGAACATTGTCTACACAGAGAGAATTTGCATTTCTTTCAGTATAATATATTTTGCCGTTCTGGGTTTATTTTCCGCTATATATTACTAAGATATATTTTAATTATATCTTTTTGACTCTATTTTTTATTTTTTTTTGTATTTCTTTCCCCACATCATTAAAATGAATAAAATAGGTAGATATATAGATAGATAAATAGTGCACTTGTATAATGGAATATATTAAGATTATGCAAGGGTATATTCCCAGTTAGAACATTTACCAGAATATTGGTAATGCTATATTTAGTAAATGGGTTTATATACCATTTTAATATATTTAAAGACCTATATATTAACGTCAGACTGTGGGATAAAGAATTCATGTTTATTAGTGTGTACCTAAATTCTGCTTTGTTTGTTTTTAACAAACGTAAAATAATGTTATTTTGAGAACCGAATTTTAAGAAGGAATTCAAAATTGTTGAATTTTTTTTATATGATCCTATTTAGCTGTATTACCAATTATACTTTTGTTATCCTAAATGTCGACAATTCTCTTCCCAATTCCATGTTTAGCTATTTAGTGAATAGTGTTTGCATGCATGTCTGTTTATGTGTATATATAAATGTATTATTTTATTTTGTGGGTTGGGCCCTAATCCAACATAACCACCGCTGTTTAAAATAAAATACATTCAGAATACATTGAATACTGGGATGCTGGTAATATTGTGCTTGTTATCGTTCATGCGTTTATGTCTTTCTTACTTACACCTTACGTTATAACTTGTTTAATGTCCATTTTTTGTTGTTGTTGCATAAAACAGCCAGGATTAGCAGTAAAAAAACAGGAGGCCTAATTAACCCTTCAACGACCCTCTATAATGCGAGCAATCTGCCAGAATGAGCCTGCCACGTGCTTTGTTGTCCTTGGGATATTGTGGGTGTTGTGTGTGTTGTGTTGTGTTGTGTTTAGATTAGTGTAACAGTGGTTTGTTCTCAGGGAAGGATTGAGGTCATTGTGCTTGTGTGAAAGGAGAAAGGCCTGTTTGTGAACGTGAAAGGGTTTAACTGTGGACCATGCACAGGGAGAAAGTGATACTAATTATAAACAGTTATCTTATTAACTGAGATAGGAACATTTCGCCACAGTGAGCCCACATGTCTAAATTATTCGACGAGAAGAAGAGAATTTCGGATCCTATATTATGTATCTTATTTCTGTACGTAGAATGGAAGAACAATGATTGACAGGGCTAGGTTAACCCTTGCGTTATACAGAGGCACGGTGGAATGTTATCACTTCGCCCTGCACACAGCTCAGGATATCATTTGCTGAGTGTGTCTATCGATGTGAGATGGAGTGTACACTCTGCTCATCACACACACACATGGAGGCCGGACCTTCAATACTGTCTTCTCCTTTTACACAGGTACATCATTACATAAACAGAATATCGTGTACACGAGGTGCCAGTGACAACTTACAGGCACAGGTAAGTCGGTTTTATCGTTTATTTTTCAAGTCTGTCAATGTATCAATGTACTGTAAGAGATATATATATACACACACACATACATACAAACACACATATATCACAAATATTTTCGAAGATACAAAATAACCACTAACAGTGCACAGCTATTTGAACATAGGTCTCCCTTGCCCCATTTATTTGTTTATATGTGCACTTATACTATGTTTTTTTTTCTCTGCCTGTCAAAGGATATGTGTATGTATAGTATGTATGTGTAGTATAAATGTATGTATAGTATACCTGGATATATAGCATTTATGTGTAGGTGGAAGTATATGTATGTTTGAATGTATAATATGTATGTGTAGTGTGCATATTGTAGTATATTATATATTAATAGTGTTTGTATAATACATTTTAATATAAATATATATTTATGTATAGTCCATATGTATAGTATGTATAGCATAGTGAAGTATAATATGTAGGTATATTATGGTTTAGTATGTATGTATAATATATATGCATTGTATAGTAGTATGCCTACTATTGTATAGTCTATATCACTTGTAGTCAACCTGCTTAGCAGATCTAGGAGAATAGACTTTCACTGAAGAGGACACTGGAGGTCTGCTAGGAGGGCCTTTCTATGTGACGTCATGCCATGCTGTGCCTGTAGCATTGAACATAATGGTGGGTGTCCTATTATGAAATGCCAGCCTTTACATGGCACGCTATGACTGTCAGTGGAGATTATATAAAGTCAGGATATTGCTGTAGAAATAAAGGATGCAAAAGTGGCCATGCAGATTTAGAAATAGGATGTGTCATTGTGTCATGGTGCTGAACCAATAGGCATTTAAATAAATGCAATATCTTTTGTGTCATTTCACATGTCTTTTTCGAGAAAATGTGTCTGAATATGTATGTAAATTTTGACACAATTCATAGGGTGGGACTGGTGTCCTTACGCGAGAGTGCAGGTTGGGGTGTAGAAAACCAAAGCTCATCTTTAATAAATATTGTGATTCAATTCTTAAAGATAGGACTGTGTTTCTATTAACCTAAATTCTGTCACAGAAAAAAAACAAGCACCCTTTAATTATAAGGCCAAAAGATGAAAAAAACAAAAACTGATGGTTCTTACTAGTACACTAATCACAATGTATTTTGTACATTTTTCCTAATTTGCACTATTCTACAATTCTTATGTGTCTGTGTGTGACAGTGTGCACACATACAACACAGTGTTTTTATTCGGAATGTTTGTTTTTGTCGTCACACCTGAACCTTGCTTTCTAATTTTACAGTGCACACAGATGACAGTGGTCCTTTTTTATGTCATTAGATTTACTTAGATAACAGTCAGGTATTTTTCTTTATTCAGCCATATGTGGGTGTTTTATAGAACCTCTAACATAATGTCTGTTTGTATATATCATTTATATAAGCTTCAACATAATATTAGCATCTTTTACTTAAGTTCAAACATACTCTGCAGTTTTACATGGATGCAGGTTCTATTAGGGCCTTGCTTTTCAGCTAATATAGTCAATGACAGATTTGGATAGCCAAATAGGGGCTGATATTATTATTACGTATAATAATTATTACGACATACGTACATAGGATGACAGATCACAAGAGAGACAGAAATACACAGTGGAGATAATTTAGTAAATTAAATTTTGCAGAAAATTCGCCATGATATACATTTCCTCAAACATAGTAAAATATTTGTAATTTCCATATGGTTACCCTTACTGATACGTGCACTCAATTCACATTAGAAAGAGTGTATACAGCCTTCGTAGAACTCCAATGTCTCATATATTATATAAAGGCGCAGTTTATTACATAGCAGATTTTTTGGGGCTTATTTGCATTTCCGTGAAAAATCTGTCAGGTAAATATGCATATGCAGATTTTTTATTACGCTGCCTTCACAATGTGGTATGTGTGTTAAACAAGGCTATCACAATATGCAGACTAAAAACTAATAAACTGTGTCTTGTTAATTGTAAGGCTTATAGCGTAAGGTAGTGAATTTCAATTGTGATTAAGAATACATTTATTTTTCTCATTGGTCTAAAAAGAAATCAACAAATATACAAAATTGATAGTTCCATCCTCTTATTACAAATCTTTAGATAATAGGTAATAGATGCTTGGTAGATTGTTGTGCAAAAATTAGGAATTTTAAAATACAATTTTATGCTAAATTCTATGATCAGAGTTGATAATTGGATATTTAACCATAAAATTTGCCTATATTATTGTTTTGCCTCAGTCTATAGATGTAGTTCTGTAATATGATATAATACAATAGAGAATCATTTTCTATAAATAAAGGTCAGATTGTTTAAGTATCACTTTTGAATTGGACACAAACCTAACTGAAGGTATTTCTGTGGTCTCAGAATTCTGTGTACTCTAGTCTTTAAAGATATTAACTTAAACCATCTTTAATAAAATGTACTGCATGTGCAAAAAACGTATATGTTGATAGCACTTTATGTGGATGATGTACAAAGATCTTAAAGTGGAGCAGTGAGCAGGAACATTCCATTGGTTTCCATGGTGACTGCTCCACATTCAGCATAGTGCCTCTGAATTGTTCTTCATACATATGGTGTGAAACATCATGCAAAACGTAAGTAAGGCTACACTGTACCTGGGAAATTGCTCCTATACTATATATGAAGGCATTATTTGTATAGGCATCAAAGATTTGCCCAAGGTACTGCATAGGGACATTGTGCAGGAGAAATCACTTTAATGTGATCTGAGTGTTGCAAAAAAGCAAAAGCTGGATTAACCCATTATGGACCAGTGATGGCCCATGTCGCCATGACAATCTGGCCCCTAGAGACCACACACTGACATGGCATGTCCTAGCCATTTAGCTTTAGCCGGGTTCTACAGAGCTGATGATGGTAAACAAGTAAGACATTCCATGCGGGCATAGGGTCTGCACAGATCAGATTGTGGTAATGGCATATATTGTTACAGTTTCTTAAAAGGTTAAAACTCGCAGCTTCCTCCCAGCAAAGACGCAGATGTACCATGTGTATGTAATGTGTAGAATTGCCATTATGTCAAAGGATGTTGAAGAAAAATAATGCAATATTATATTGGATCCAGGCCTAAGGTATATGTTTTATAAACATTATTTATTAATGTTGTGGTCTAATATTTTATATTGTCAGGAAAAAAATAAGATTTAAATTAATTCAGATTTCGAATTTCTTTGAATTTATAGATTTATTTGGCTACAGAGACAATAATGTGCAAATACAATTCACAATCATTGTAATTCTAATTATTGATGCTTGCAGTGTATTTTGTCCATAGCTGTCCAGTCAAAAGGCACAAACAATAAATACATTTTATAATAGGTACATTTTCAGTGTAAGTCTCTCCTAAGATGTTTGCCTTGACATGGCAGGTGAGCTTACACTTAAATGGCCATTGGCGGGATACCAAAAACCTTCAATTATTTAAATATGCACAGGGATTTGGGATAGTGCGCAGGTAAATTTTTTTTTTTTATTATTACATTTTAGAAAGGTTATAAAAAAAGACAAAGACAAAAAAATAATATAAATATCTATAAGACGCTGTTAGATTGTTAGGCTTAGATATAAAACCGACTTGCAGTACAAGTAATCTGCACTATGGCTCATATATGAAAGTATGATTAATGGGTACCTCCAATCTCGTGGACTAAGAATGTACCCCTGTAGATAGAATACCAGGGTTACCAAAACCAAATGACACTACAACTCTCATTTACAGAGTGCCAGTAGGAAACCAAAGCTATTTAGTACTGCCTGTGCTGACCCCCTAGTATGCCAGGGTGATGCTCAGTTTCATTAACGTTAGTGACCCCAATTAAAAATGGCTTCCCTGTCCTCCTAAAAGTAACATTATTTTAAAAATGTTAATTAAATGGAGATTACAATTGGTGTAGATGGAAGATTTTATTTTGGATGGGGTGAGCTGAAACACACGTAACAATATCGCCAATATATAATCTTCTGAAATCGTTATAGTACTATTAATTTTCTCACATTTCTATATGTTCCTACCAAATCCAGGAAAAAGGTTTGCGCTGATTTCTTTTGAAATCAGATTGGTCCTCATTTCCCTCATCCCTTTATAACGTTAGCCTTTATAATCTCTACTGAGGGGCACTTTGTGATGCTGAAAATCTAATGCTGCAAGCCATTTTGTTATTGGACATTCACTCGGCTACTGTGTACTATTAAATATAATGTTTTCTTCAACAGAAAAGCATAAAATAATGATTTGCAATGTATGACAATAGTGAACATAGAGTAAGAGGCCTGATGTTATTAATAAAGCACGAATACACTTTAAACAACGTTCTGACATTTCTGTGTCATCCCCTACTGCCATACTAAATAATATTGTAAAATATTAGCCACATCTGTACTGCTCCTTATTTTCTGACTTGCGTGCAGTGAAAAAAAATGGGCGTTTTTTTCTCGCTCTTTAAAATGTAAAGGATTTGTGTATTTCTGGTCGTAGTCAGATTTCTCAAATAATATAGGCATGTGCCCAAAGTAGTAACCACTGAGTAATATTATGACAAATGCCTTAAGACTGACAGGGCATCATGGGAAATGTTATGAGACTGGTTGAGCAACATTATATAGTTCAAAATCATCTTGGCTGCAAAAATTTAGCCCTCACTGGTAATTTTTTAGTAAGATTATACTTGGAAACAAAATCACAGATTTTAGTTTTTGTATTGATTAATTAATTAATTGATTTATTTTTATGCTGAATTCTAATTTGGAGTTCTGTAGTCCATATACAACACACAGTAACATCGTATTTACTTTGCTGGGGTGTTTTATATTTTATATATATTGGACTAAGACTTCCAAAGGTCACATGGCTCGCGAAACAAAAGCTGTATATCAAACCATATAATAAGGCTATAATATTAATTAGATCATCGTACTGTGGGCAAATGAGTAGATTAGATTTCATGAAATATAAAAAAATAAATATTTTTAAGTTACAGGAGATGGACCCATGCATTTAAAAACTCACCCTCCCAAAACAAACAATTTCTACAACGGTGGATTTTATTTACTAGAAATGCATGCACATTTACATCCCTAGATGTAGAGAATGATATTTCCGTTGTTATTTTAACATCTGCAGCTTAAGATTTGCATTTTGGCTACAGTCAGGTGAAATGACAACGGGATGTAAGCATTTACAGTAGGCATATGTGGGTGATTCCCATTTGCATATTTGCAGCAGGCACAGTTAAGTTAAGAACGTTGATAGCAGAATTTGCATGGGTGCATATAATATGCACAAATGGAACGAGCTCAGTTATATACAATATTTGGAAGTGGCTCTAAATTTTTGCTTGATTCATAGATCAGGACCATGGAAAGAGCACAGTACTTTATCTAGCTAGTCTGGAATCCTCACAAACTTTTTTATTTTTTTTATTTCTGCCAGTGGTGTGTGCAGTCCTAATGAAAAGTTTCTAAAGCAAATATTCTGTTTCCCTTTTTAATCTGCGTGAAAGCAAACAGCAACATCCTTTTCTAGTAATTCTAAACATCACAACCTCCATCACCAATGAAGTGGCATTCTGAAGTATGAAAAAGCACACAGAGCCTCAATAGTACACAGCTAACTGAATAAAATGACTTTCATACAATAGATTGTATTGCTGTTTGCTTTTACCACTGTCTATGTCATACATTCCTTGCTGACTATGCATTGATGCCTCTCTGTTGTGAACTCTGAGCCAGAACATCCCACACAATGTCTGTAATGAAACTGGGTAATGTGATGTTGATTAGGATACATCAATCAGGAGAATGAAAAGGAAAGCAGAGTTGTGTGTAAGAGTTATGGCCAATGTGTGTTATTTTCTGCTGATTAGCATTTATAACATGATTGTCCCCGATGTTGCCCAAGGACTAATGTCCTGTAATTCTAGAATATGGTCTTCTAAACCCATTCCTAAAGGATTACCAACACACCTGGTTCTCAGTTTGGCATACTGCATGCAAATCATTTAGACCTATTGTTTGGCTAATTTCATTTTTTTTTTTTTTATAAACCTTGGAGAATTCTGGCATCACATAACCATCTATAACTATCTATCTATCGAAAGAACTACGTTAATCTTTATCAGAAATACAAATACTGCATAATTTTCATCGTTAATATTATTGGCATTCAGATAATGCCAACACAAGCAGTAGCGTTTCACAATTTTAATGTGAGGCTTCAACAGAAAACAACCAAGAAACAAACTATAAGTGTTAACAAGAAACAAGAGGTAATTGAAGACCCTGCTCAACTGACAAAATTGCTAATTTTTTAGTTTTTTGAAGAAGACGTTTGATCACCTCTTACCCCCAAATTAGCATCCAACACAATTTTGATGTTGTCAGTTAGTCGTATCAGCCAAAATTACAATGTTACTATATTTTAAGTGCAGACATTTTCTATAGGCAGTACAGTCTTGTAGCCATGGCAGCAATCTAGCCATTAACAACTTGTTCATGCTGGTTGTCTATGTAATATTATATATTTATCCATTGCTCACGCTGTGTGTCCATGTAATCAGCAATAACAGGGTGCATAGAAAATGAAGAGACACAGTGTATTAATGTCCATTATTTTTCTCCATGTTTTGAGTGCTGTTACTCAGAGGGAAAGAACACACACTGAGAGTGGATGGTGCCCTCTGCAACTCTTAAAATGTTCTTAGACATAAACTGTGACATAGTAAGTGAGTAGCTGGCTCAATATGTGTGATAATATAAATATGAATAAAAGGCTTATCTGTAAATAGGGAAGTGATCACTACTAAATTGTAATCTCCGTGTCTACCTATACTCATAACCCAGCTCTTACCTACCATATATTTGTTTTAATGAAATACCCTTGTTAAAACATTTCCTTTTTTTTCGGAGTTCCTTTTTTGCGTTAAAAAAAACCGCTCAAAATCCACTTGATTCTTCTGAATACAATGCACTTTTACCTTTACCTCATCACTTCCTGTTCCGTTACACAAAGCCTGTCTTCCCACTGTCTTCTCAATTACTTGTAAGATTTGTTCTCCCACTGTACAGTGCTACAGAATATGTGTTTAAAATAAAGGATATTTATTACAGAGCTTAGAACATGTAGACAAAATATGAAATCAAAAGGAATGCACTCATTTTTTTCATATATTGAACTTTATTTTTTAACACGTCTTCAAATTATGCCTTGTTTATACGTAGCAACAGCCATTCAGGTATGTGATAGTAAGATCATCAAGGGGGTAAATAAAAATATGAGAATATGCAAGATGGAAAAGGTTTAACCTCTTATTGACTGTAGACTGTAGTCAGTCCACATAGTCATTTCTTTTTTTCTATCCCATAATAGAATGTCCAGTCATATAAAATAACAGTAGGGATATATAGAGCTGCTAAATACGAAGGATGTTCTATGCCATATTAAGATCTATAACAATCATATGTGAATGGTAAAAACGTGTCATTGGTCCTTAAGTGGTTAGGGAAGAATTGAAGGATTAGGAAACACTATTTGTACAAACCTCATGTTGTGCATTGTGATTCTAGATGAATAGGAGAATTAATGCAGAATTATTCTGTATGACCCTGCTGTTGGTAAAAATTATTGAACATTCTATTTTGGATTACAATTCTTAAAGAGTTACTTGAACCCTTTTTTAATAAGTTTATCTTATTTTGTAATGCCCTATTGGGCACTAGTAGTGTGTCCGCCCACCTTTCTATAAGTAAAAAGCCTGTAAAAAAAAACCCATCAAATTTACTGATAATCCAGCGTTGGTATAATCACTCCTTTGCTCTCAGTGGTCCAATCTGATTTCATTGGACCGATCTCCAGGCTTAAAGCGCATGTACACGCTGTGAACCACGGAGGGGAGGGAGAGAGAAGGAAGTGGGCAAGGGAGGGGATTTAAATTTTTTTTTTTTTAAATTAACTTTCAATGTAGGGAGGTGAAGAAGGAGAGCACCAAGGGAGGGAGGGATGGGAGGTCTAGGTTTCTGCTTGCAAGCGCAAAGCCTGCAAGGGTAGAAGCCGATTATGTCTGTCGCCAGTGCACTAGCAGAAATGCTGCACTTCTAAAAGCAGGAGTGGTCATGGAGGCTGAAGTAACGCTTTACAAAATATTGCTATGATGACATTGACTGTCTTCAGTCCATGAAAGGTTAGACCAGCTCCATCTCTCAGGTTAGACCAGCTCCATCTCCATCTGGTCCACATTGCTGGGTTCTGTACCCTTTGTTAGATGTCTGAAAAAACACTTAACACCTGCTCCCCTCTCAATTTTCATTGGTTCCGAGAAATTAGATGGGGGTACAGGTAACTGGTTAACAGCATAATTTAAGATCTTTCTTAACATGAACAAGTTCTCAATTCCCCAATATGCTAGATCAGGGATAGGCAACCTTCGGCACTCCAGCTGTTGTGGACTACATCCCCCATAAAGTTCTTACACACATAATGCTGGCAAAGCATCATGGGAGGTGTAGTCCAAAACATCTGCAGTGCCAAAGGCTGTCTATGCCTGTGCTAGATTATACTATGAAAACAACCGTGAAACAAAGATAAATCTGAAACTAATTTTAATATGTTTTACTATTTAAAGCCACACTTCACTGCTCATTCAATGACAGCAATTAAGTAAAAGACAGAGTTCTGAGCCCAGCTCCATTGCATTCTGTTTAGCTGGTTTCTGACACTTTAACATGTAAATGTTCTGTTACCTCGACCAAGGTTTAGGGCTTGACATGTAAAGTTCTCACTATCTATGAAAGCTGTTTTGGGTGATTTAAAGAGTTTACCTCTAAAAAGGGGTTGATTACTTTTTGGAGACATGGGAAGTATTAATATGACATCAGGCTTTCAGTGACGCTGATTAAGTATAAAGAGCGCTAAAATCTACACCATGAATTAGACTCTGCCCCCCAATGTATTGGGCTCTGCCCACTCAACCCCAGATCTAATGAGATATCATGTTTAACACTATAAACCTATAGATATACTGTACATACTAGGGAAGCAACAAGCACTTTAACCCAATAGGAGACATCAGAAATTCTTTTAAACTAGAGTAAGCATTTCCAAGGGGTCTCTAGCCAGAAAATGACATGATTAGTTGTTCAGCCTTTCAGTAGGATCTCCAACCATCAATAAGTGAGAAGGACACTGCAGAACTAACCGTGAAAGGCACAACATGTTTTTTCTTTCTTCAAATCCACATTTATTATTAATCTTTCCCACGGCAATCAATGCATTTTTGTATTGCAATAAAAACTAGGAGGTGCTGTCCCAATGGACAAACCTCAGTGCTTTATTATAAATGGAAAGTAATGCCATTAAAATAAATGGCTTTCATTTAAATTTGAACACTTGGAAAAATTCACATAACATTGGTAAACGCATAAGATTTACCTGGTTTGGTTACTGACCCATTCAAAAATTCGAAACCAAAACGGTTTTCAGCCAATCGGCAGGTAGAATTGAAAACACAGTCACTTACTAGACAATACAGAGAAGAAAATAAAATAATGTCTGCCATGGTGTGCTACAAAAATAGGTAAATGGTGTAACATTTACACAAATATTACAAGTTCTGTAAATTCTGTAACTTAAATCTTTCATCATCAGCTCTCCCTATTCATCATCTACAACTCAACATCATAAAATAAATTCTCTAAGAGCAAAGATACCTACTGCATGAAACCTAACTTTCACTGCTTATCTGCTTGCAATCACTCATTCAGAGCCTGCAGGAGATTATAGGTCTAATGGACAAATGGTCCTCACCCATTGGTGGGTTCCACCAACCTGACTACTACTGGTACACTCTACAAATCCAACATCGGCAACAATACATTCCCATGGTATCAGAATTACTGTGTGTCTCTTCCCTCCAAGCCCCCCTCTTTTCCTTTTGGTTGGGTACTTGACCATATATATCATTAGATCCCTTGCTTTTTTCACACTGGGACCAGTGGGTGGCATCCAGTCACAGGGATTTTTTCCATCTCGTGTTCTTTGTGTGCGCATTCTTACACCTTTTTTCTTTTTTTTTTGTACCCTTGAACAAAACTGAAAAACTCAATTCATTTTAAAGTTTGTTTCTATTAAACATCATAATTTTGAATTAGGTTGTGACTATAACATTGTTGTTTTAAGCGACTTCTCCTACAAACACATAATTCTAAATAAACACAATCCATTCATCGTATTCCTTCCTTTGTTTGTCAGGAGTCTTGTTTTTTTCCTCCTCTTGTTTTTTTTTTTTTTAAACATTTTATTTTTGTTTATGCTATAAATTGGGAATTTTTGAGTTTGTAGGCCCAGACCCTTATCCTGTTTTTTGTTGTTGTTGTTTTTTTTAATTATTGTGTTTTTGTCTAAGACTTGCTACCTTTTCAAATGGAAAGTTCCCTCTTAAACTTGTCTGTGTGTGACTCTAAGGCTCAGCAAATTCCTTATTTAAGTTCATAGACGCTCCACGGAGCTGCTGGCTGACACAGATACATCCTATGGAAACAATACATTCAGAAGCTATTGTTTATGTTTAGCCATGCCCTTTGAGCACATGAAGAGAATCTCCACTCCTTTCAGTAAAAAATAACATAAGTCTCTTCTCTATTGTCCATTTGAAGAATAAGTTAGGGTCACATACAGGCCTATACTTATACACTTTGGCCTTCAGCACAATTCATTATCTTCACATTTCATGACCACAATAAATACAATTCTGTCATTATTTCCTCAGCTCATACTTTCTAGCAAGCCGCACTTCATAAATCTAATTTTTTTCAAATTTATATTTTGGGTTGCAGTAAGTTATCAAGTAAAATATATTGTTTATATTGTATAACAGCAATCAATGTATTGAACGCCTACTAAAAGATTACACATATCTGACACTAAAGTTTAAAATCTGATATAAGCATGTAACAAACATTTGACTGCAAAATAATGGTCAGATAAAGAAATCATTTTAAAAAAAAGTTGTTTGGTGTATTATTTTATAAATTCTAGTTATTAACATTTGGCTTCGAACTAAAAAAAAAAGAATCCTTACTTTGCTCTGTTTTTGCATTTCACTTTTATCACCTGTCATTTTTGTCTTCTTTATAGACACAAGATTTTTACCCAGAACACCACTTTTTTAACCCCTTAAGGGATGCAGTAAGGACAAGAAATACAGATGGCTTAATATTAGCCTTCCCACAATTCTACAAATATATGTGTTCAAGCCATGCCCACTTTGTTATTAAATGTTAGGTGGCATCGGTAATCATTGTGCACAGGGGTTATTAGCTTTTTCACACACATTTACATTCAGCGGTTTTAACCTCTGAGTCTATATTTTACGGTATAGGTGACATATTACTACATAAATTCATGGGACTTCCAGGTGTTCTAGCCCCTTCTTATATTATGTATGTTTACTAGATTTCAGATGAAATGTTCATTCATTTAAAATTTTAGTATAGCACCCTTTTTGTATGGTATTTTTTAACTAGTTATGATCCAAGAGCCACATTACCTAAATATAATTTTGAACATGTCTACACAGAGCTTAAAACTTTCAATTGTAGAATTGAGAGTAGCTTATTATTTTACTATGTATGGCCCAATTCCAGCTCTCTCACAATATTGCACTATTTAATCTACAGCCCTCTACTACCTAGATTTACTAGTAATGTGTGTACATATTATATACACACACATATCAGCAGTTTAGCATTTAGAACATTTCCCCAGACTTGTTCTTTGTATATAAACACTGAATAAGTGCTTCTTAACGGAACAACCAAAAAATGACTTTTACCCTGTATGCTTTAAAACTGTTAAAATGTTTATACTTTTCTGATTTGTGTATTCTCTAATGCAGTATTATTCTCCATAAAGATATTTTTCTTGATATCCAGATTATAGCAGTTATTTTTTAAGATCCTAGAATATTTAAAGAGACCCTGTATTTTAGTCAACATTTGCGTGAGATGTATATATGAACCTAAAAATACAAGTTAGTGGGAAGAGTCTTACACTAATATTAATCCAAGGGGTATATTCAGTATACAGTGGCACTTTATTTGGCAATCTACATAATTTAAGCAAAAATAGTAATTTGTTTGTTTACAATGGACATTATGCATGTCTGTACAAAACTATAAATGCATTTGTATTAATTCAAATGTTTGAATACAGAAACAAAAGACATATTCTACAAATCATATACTTCTTTATATATATATATATATATATATATATATTTATATATATAAATTCACCTTTTCAATGTCTGTGTGTGTGTTTTTTTTTTCTTTTTAATCCATACTACGTTGAACCTGTCTAGCATTTTCTTATAATGGCGCCCAGTCTTTCCCATTATTTTATTAAGTATTTTGAGTGCCAGTTTTTTCTATATGTGCATGTAACTTCATAAAAAGGCATAATCATTTTAATGTGTGTAGATTGAAAGTAATACATAAACATGCAAATGAGCCTGCGTATTATAATAATAATAATAATAATATATATATATATATATATATATATATATATATAATATCTTTATACAGCCATCAGTCTTGGAGTATGCTAGCCATGCATCAGGGAATATATTTGCTGTTGCTTGATGCATGGTGCTATGTTGGTGGAATGACCTCTAGCCTCTGTCTGGGTTACCCTGCTCAGAATGGGGTCTTTTATTCAATGCTCCCCCAGCTCAGCATTATTCCCAAAGCCTCTTTTCATACCCAGACTTTCCCATCTTCCAAAAACACAGAGAAGGAAAAAGAAGGACTCGTCCTCTGATCTCCCAGAGAAATGTTTTATCAGTTTGATGGAGATGTTCCTAGAATAGACCCGAATACCCATGCCTCTTCTCTGGCACATTGGACATAAAAAAAGGGTGTGAAGTGTTATGTTAATGTTAAAGGGCTGTTGGGGATGGCAGGAGGAGGGTTAACGTCTCAGGGTCACTCGGATTTTCCAAATGAATCCACATTCATGGAAAAACATCCTCCTTTCTCTCATCTGGCCAGGCAAAGCACTCAAACGGCAACTTTGTCAACAACCAAATTACGATAAGGTAGTTATAAAATTAATTTTATTTTTTGCTCTGTACAATTGCTATAGATTACTATCTGTTTTATAAGATTATAAGATTTCTTTTAACAGCGTAATTTTGTTTGTTTAAGTTTAAAAAGTAGCAGTGTCATGTGGCCAAAACAGTTTTTTTAGGAGGACACTTAATATAATAATAATAATAGTTATCAATGTTCAATTAATTAAATTATTCAGATAATATATATTATTTATTTATTTATTTTTTCTTTACATTTTGTTTTGTTTGTTTTTTTAATTCCCAAATTTACATGAAAATCTGTTTACATTGAATGAATCTGAGTTTTTTTTTGTTTGTTTTTGTTTCTGTGAATGGAGAAGTAATCAAGATTATAATGTTGAATAAATGAATTGCAGTATTATATGAGTAGATTCTTTATATACTTATTTACACCCATTATACATTCATTTACAATTTTATAGAGGTAAATAATCTATTAACTGCATGGTCATAGAAGCTATGTATAGGAGCCTATGATAAATTACAAATGTGTAAAATGAATAAATATATATATTTTAAAAAGCATGCAGTCTTTTCAAATCCTTTTAGAGGATTTAGCTTCACACTGTCACTGATATGGTTAATTTGATTAATTTGTATTATTTTATTTTTTTAACGAAAGCTATATATATTAAAGCAGCTGTGCTTTTTAATGATTATGTTTGAAACTGACTTTAATAATAATAATAATAATAATAATAATAATAATGGGATTTCTGTAGAGTGATGAGTCCCTTTGATAAGTGATGAATAGGATGACTGGCCTGGATGTTAGTAAATAGGATTATCCCCCTCTTATGGTTAAGTGTATGGACATTTATTTCATTGTCATTGTCTTAGATGTTTGTCACTTACAGTGGCTGTTCAAAAACACTTGGAGATGACAATAAGCTAATTAGTTTATTGTAAGCAGGAGGCTTCTTTGTTAATGCAGGTAATGAGTGATAAGCGATTGGTTGAGGAGGTAATTGCTAGAAGTCTAAAATAATATAAACAACATTTTCAAACAGGTCGTGCCAGCTTTTCGGGACTTCAGTTCTCGTTATACCTAATGTTAACCTGCCTGTGGGTTATGACTAGACTTCACAGGACCAGACATTCTGTCTGTGATATATTGAAGCAAAGGGGAATAAGGAAGTTTAATCCGTGGGTGGCATTTGGGTATGTGTGAGTGTATTAATGCACAAAGCAACACACTTGAGAGCGTGGGAGGAAGATATAAGGGGTGTAGCCAATGATAATCAATAAAATAAGAAAAACGATGGATCTCTAGAATTTACATGCAGGTGGAAGAACCAGGCGCAGACTAGCCAAATGGGCCTTGTGACCCAGCAACCATTTTCTAATGTAACTCAGTATGAGGTAACTGGAGAAAAAGCTGTCTCTGAATGCAGGTCCAGGATATGATATGATATTTGGTGCTTGGATTAAACGTGAACAACTAAGGAGATCCCCGTTCTCTGTGCACTGGGTCACATTGGGTGCTGTACAGGTCCTAGTACCTAGAGTTAAGGATCAATTGAATTGTAGAAAATAGGGTCACCAAGGGCCCCTAAAGTTATGTTGCTGTTTAATAAAAAAATATTTTGGCCTCATTTTGTTGTTTACAAAAAGAGTTCAGTGAATAAACATATAAAATGTACTACTTGGGGTATATTTTTGTCCTACGCTTTCCTGCCTAGAATGAAAAGTTTATTGGGGGCGGGGCATGGGATGTGGCATATGTAAACATTCTTACAGTTTACAATGATTACTAAGGCACAGTTTTATTATATATTTTAAGTGTAGAATGGATGAAGTAGTAATATGTGTCCCATAACAAACAATGATAATAAGGCAATTGTATAAAAAGTGACGTATCATAACCTTTAGATTATAAACTCATTGTTCACGTATGTCCTACATGTTTTGTTAGGATTCAGTGTTTGTCTTCTTTACCTATTGTACAGCTCTGCAGAATATGTGGGCGCTATATAAATTATTGCAATTGTAATGATTACAGTACAGGAATTTTAGTCCATTCTATGCACAGAATCATCATCATATCAAGTTGTATTGTTGTATTTGCCGTAACATTTTGTGCATGCGCATTTATTTAATCCTTTCCACCAGCAGAAATGGATTCCTGGTCTTTGAATCGGTTTCTTTCTTTGGTTACCTAGCTGTATGAGTATTCCAAATGTCATAAAGCTAGACAACCGAACGTATAAATCGATTCCTTCTTCTTCTCAATGGTCCAACATCAAGAACACCAGTGGAATCTTATCTTCAAGCAACATATAGAGAATGGCATAGATGGTGTTAAGGACACAGACTGTCCAGACTCCAAGTCTAAATTACCATAGTTACATTTATGTTCTATCTATAGAGTTATACTGAGTACAAACAGGGCAAGCACTGCTTATATTGATGTGTGTATCCATAGTCATCATTGTCTTTGGTTAAACAATGCCTTTATATCTATGTCAATGTGTCTATTAGGGAAGTGCATGGGCAAAAAATTCAGTTCGGCACTTCGGCAATTTGAGACTTCGACAATTCGGGACTTCTGCAATTTGGTTCGGTTTGGCACTTCTGAAATTCGACAATTCAGTAATTTAGACATTCGGAAGAATCCAAATGTCCAAATTGCAGAAATTCGTCCGAATTCATATTCGTACCGAAACAAATTGCACATGTCTAGTGTCTATATCAGTGTTGTAAACACTAGAGTATTATGCACAGTAGGTGTCTCAATTTAGAAGATTTCATAAGTGCTATGTGCAGCTTAATCAATAATACTGTTTGTATCTCTTAAAATTGCACTGGTCTATTTTAGTAATTAACAGGCAAAAATGGACAAATGGGACTGATCTAATGTTATGTGCTATATTGATATTTTTCATTTTGTTTTAAACATATCCTAAACAACAGCAGTTTTATGTAATGCAAATACTACTACAAATCTCTACTACAAATGGGTACTACTGCTACTGCTTAATTACAGCAAACAGAAACATGTTACAATTGTGTATGAACTGCATACATGACTATTTTTTGTAATTGTAACAGAAAATATTATATAAAATAACAGACATAGGTTCTTTAGAACACCTAGTCTTGTAGACACTGAGTAATCTAACAAAAGATGGAAATTTGTCTATACCATACTTTCAAAGGGGCTCATACCATTATGGCCTAGTGTGAAATCCAGCTTTTGTACCAAGTAGAACTTCAATTTCAGTGCTGTTGTTATCTATGTGATGTGTTACTATGAGAGGAGGTAGCCCTGAACTTAACAGGTGTTAGGGGTAAGGGCAAAACCTTCATTATTTAATGAGTGCCTACCAGACCAAGGCAGATCTACAATTACATAAGTCAACTGAGGGAGAACCTGAAAAGAACAATAGAGGATATAAATGTATGCAGTCATGTATCAGTAATTGACACCCCCCTCTACATGCCTGGTATATGGACTATATGGACTACGTGCTTACGAACAGAAAGGTTGCTCTCATGTGAATAACATAGACTTTGAGTTCACTTGTGTTGATGGTGAACACGTACACACAGTGTTAATTACTAAAGTGAGAATTTAAAGTGAATTAAAAATTTAAGGCCAATATAGCCAAAATTGAGAAATTCTGCAAGTCAGCTATGCTTCCAGTTTGGAATAAATTTAGTTCCCATAAATTATCACTTTACAGAGTTATTTACTAAAGTGAGAAATCAAAATTAATCTCATATTGTTCAAAACGTGCCTATTCTCTACTTCTAGCCAATTAAGATGACATAGAAATAAAAACAACTAAATGGTTTGAGCCAGCATTCAATTTTATAACACAACAGGGAAATAGTGACAATGTCAGCTGTGCTCTTCCTCTATCCCACTCACAGGCTGAATCACGACACTGAATTTGTTTTAGAAATAAGGAGGAAGGTGATTTTCAGTTGTGCAGAATAGGTGCATTATGTTTGGAAACATATTCATGATGACAAAGTGGATGCACTTTTTCCAATGTATCTATTAATTTATTCATTTACTGAGCCCTTCATTCATTTGACTCTGAAGTGATACAACTATAAAATAAAAAATATATATATAAAAAAAAAAATGTATATAAAATTTTTTTTTATACATTTTCACATCTTTATCGAGCATAATAATCTGTAGTGGTTATGGTGCCAGGAATGCAGAGATACTTAATCTGACAGTCCTATTCCCCTAATGTAGCAAGGCCAAGTGGTGTTCTGGGCGTATACAGAGTTCTGGTGTACTGACAATTTATGATCAAATGGCAAAATAGCGAACTGGGATATTCTCTAAATCAGCTCTGCTTCCACTATAGCACTGCCACCTATGGGATCTTTGCATATTTTGTTGAGAACCCCGATGGTGACATTGCCTCTTATGGTGCGGTGGCCCAGAGGTTCAGTAGAGGAGAGTTATACTTGATTGGTGGTGTCCCTCGCGGGCAGAGGCGTAACTAGAAACCACAGGGCCCCCGGTGCAAAAAGTGCCCTGGCCCCCCCCCCCATATGTCTATCACCCACCCCATACATCCCTGCCCGCATACATCTAACCCCCCACCCGATATGTCCCCGCCCCCCATATATCTACCCCCCACACGTCCCCGTCCCCTCACACAAGCAGACAAACACATACATACACACAAAGAACACACACAGACAAATACATACAAACACACAAAAACAGAGACCCATACATACAGACACACATACATACACACACACACACACACGTAGACACACACACATACATACAGACACACATACACACAGAGACACATAAAGACAGACATGCACACGTACATACAGACACACACATACACAAACACACAAAGACATACACCCAGATATACTGATACAGACATTCTCTATCACACACACACACAAACTGTTAAAACATTTTTCGTGAATTACCTGGGGTCCAGTGGCTGCCTTATGCTGATGGGAGTCAGAGTTCCCACTCTCACTCCCTCCTCTCCTCCCGCGCGGTGCTCTGTTAGCTGGGAGAAAGTGACGGCGTCCTCCCAGCTCTGACATCATCACTGGGGCCTGGTCACGATCTTAAAGTACCGATGCGCTGACCGGGCCCCATGAAATCTCTTGAGTGATGGGCCTGGTCACAGCTGCGACCCCTGCGACCGCGGTAGTACCGCCAGTGCTAGCGGGTGCTGCTATTTTCGATCTTTAGCTCTTGGCGCCTCATCCGCTAGGAGCCCTCTTTAGTGCTATACTTTTGCATATGTGGAAGAGTACAACACTGATTTCTTTGGAGGTTAAAAACAAAACTACGGGGAACTTTATCCCCGTAGCTGTCACTAATGATGGCTGTGGAAAGTGGAACGTAATGGCGGAACTACGCCTTTTGTCAATTTGCGGATTTGCCATATGAAAAGTAGCCCCTAATTTGTCTTATGATATCTTTTGGATGCATTGGAATTTGTATGAAATTTCAACCCAGTCATAAACATGTTATATTTATGAAATGCTCAAAAGAAAATCTTTTCGGGCGACAAAGCCACTTTAAAATTCACTTTGAATTCTCACTTTGGTGAATAACCCTGATAGTGTAGCATTTGTAATTACTTGATGTAGTAACATATGCTTGTCATTTTAATAAGTGCAATAATTCAATTCATATGAAACTACAAAAAATATTTCTTAGTGAGTGCAACATTCATCCCTTTTCTGGGTCATTATATTAGATTCCACTCCAGTGTCATTCTGCATTTAATGACCCAATTCTAATAATCTGTTACTTTGGCTGAACAACAATAACTCACTCAGTCTTATATAAAGCATTGGCATGTTATGAGCTGTATTCTATCTGCTATGGATATCCATTTTCCATAGCAAATAGAATTCTGTTTTTGTTTATTTTTGAATATTTTTTTTAAAACTCATCAGCTGAAAATGTAAAATCTCGGAGAACTAATAATTTTAATAGACGTGGTGCCAATTCTTATTCATTGTTTATAAGTGTGTAAAAAAAATTCTTAGAAATTATTTATACCATACAATAGAAATAATTCACCAAGGTAAAAAAAAATTGATTTTTATTGATAACTAACAAGTCACCTTTATCTTGAAATATAACATGATGTCACACACCTTGTCTCAGTGTTAGTTTCAGACACAGACGTTTCTGTCTTTACTGTGCTTTGGTTAGTGAGTCACAGCAGATGAGTAATTTCTCTAAATAGTGATAGAGGGTAAATATATAAATAGACCTTTTGTAAGTTTTGTCTTGCTTTTTATATTTTTGAAGAAATTATATCATGACTTTTTGTACACATGATTATGACTAGAGAAAAAAAATTTGTTTTTGTTTAAATTTAAAATTTATATAGAAATTTCCTGAACACCCCAATGTAATGTGCTGCACATGCATGGTATCTGTCTGTAAATAATAATGTTTTATTTTGTTCTCCATAAACTTTAAAAATAAAACCCGTTTGGGCATTATACACAGTACTGGTATTTTTCATGGTACTTTTAATATTTTAAGACTTTTTCTAATGAGTGTTTTAAGAAATTACACCAGTATTTCTATTTTGGCTAATACATTTCAAATCAAAATGCCTTTGAAATCAATAGAGTTAAGTGGAAGGACTTATTGTATTTATCTTAAAAACACATTTAAAAAAAAATATATAGCTTAGTTGATGCAAAAAGTTGAGGTTTTTGTAGAAAGTGCGATGATTTAGGAATCTGAAACGACACAAAAGCAAAGAGATGTTTTATATAACTTCACCATAGCAAGCATTTTCTCTTTTTTTGGCAATTTCAAATAATTTAATTTTAATGTCAGCCTTCAAATGCCAACTCTAAATTGAGAATCATTATAATGATGCAGTAATGGCAGTGCAGTGCATTGCAGTGAATTGTTATATAATGGCATAAAGCAGAGTGCACTGCACTCTAAAACTATCAAGATTATTCACTAAAGTGAGAATTCAAAGGGAATTCACAGTGAATTTCACATTTTAGGCCAAGGTAGCTGAACTGGAAGGATAGATGACTTGAGAAATTTTCACATTTAGTTATTTTGTCTTAAATTTGAAATTCACTTTTAATTCAGTTTGCCTTCTCACCTTCGTGAATAGTCTTGATTGTTCTTAAATCAGGACTATCCCGCAGAGTACAACATACTCCTTCTAAACACTGCAGTTGTAGCAAGCACCACTATCAGAGAGTATCTCACTGCCTCATTGGATGATTGACATTACAGTCTGAGGCGTAACTAGAAACCATGGGGCCCTGGTGTGAAAATTGCCCTGGGGCCCCCCCATGTGTGGTCCCCCCCACACACATTCAGACACACACATAGACACACACATGTAAACACACACACACATACATACACACCTACATACAAACACAACCACGCATGCAAAATGTTTAAGTCACTCTCCTGTTTCCTACCTTTTAGATGCAGGAGGGTGACTTCCCTGGGGTCCAGTGGGGGCTCAGGAGGAAGTTTCAGGGGCAGTCACATCCTCCCTGGGCTCTGACCTCATCACAGGTCATGCTGTTAAAGCACCACAGCGCTGACTGGGCCCCCCGGATATTCATTGCCCCTTAACATGTGGCCTCGGCGAATCTACCGCACAGCCGGGGCTACAACACATGGCGGCGGGTACCCGGTCGCAGGGGTCTGCAGGGCAGCCATGCCCCCTGGAGTGACGGGCCAGGTCACAGCTGCGACCCCTGCGACCGCAGAAGTTCTGCCACTGATTACAGTGCATAGTATTCTAATTGCAAGTACGCTTTAACTCTAATAACCACTTAACACTAAGCCCTCAACCCTAATCATCTGTAACCTTCGCATGATACTTTAAATAGTGCACTTAACCATGAATGTCCCTCCGTGCATAGTAATACCGCTATGCAGACACACATTAAACCATGCAGACACACACTGACCCATGCAAACACGCTCTCACTGACCCATGTAGACACACTCACACTGACCCACGCAGACATATTCACACTGACCCATACAGACATACACTGACCCATGCAGACTCACACTGATCCATGCAGACTCACACTGATCCATGCAGACTCACACTGATCCATGCAGACATACACTGACCCATGCAGACATACACTGACCCATGCAGACACACACAGATGGGTACAGGTGGCTGGCCCCTTGCTGGGCAGGATGTAGTAGGAGAGGGCTGCATTGCCTGCTCCCTTCTGTGCAAGCGCTCCTCTTTTGGTCGCCCTGTCACTCTCTTACAATGAGGACATATGGGGTTTGTAACAGTGATGTCATAGCCCCACCTACTCTCCACCAGGAAGCATGTATGTAGTCTTCTTCTCGCACATGCTGTCTACTGCACACACAGCCACAGCGGCTGGCTCTCTCAGCATGAGAATGGGCTGGCCGATGAGGGAGATCTATGATCTCCCCAATGGCTGTGCCGCCCCACTCATGTCTGCCACTCTAGGGTTGCCTTATGGGAAATCAGGCCCTGTCAGAATGTGCAGCATTTCATATGGAATGCTTCACGTACAAACTCCAGGCTGAATTGAACATGGTGCTTGGAGTAACCCTTTAAGGCTCTCAAAACCTATTTTAGCTGTTTCTGATTATTATTATTTATAATAATAATGTGATTCAAAACATTTACACCTGTCTTTGTTTTTATTTTGTAATCACACTGAAATTTAGAAATATTTTAGGATGAAACATCAGAGTTTCTCCCTGTCAGATTATGGAAAGAGGAAAGTCCACAAATTCTGGCATGAATCCTTTTCCCCCCCCCCCAGACAGATACAGCCAAAGCATCCCACTTAAAATAAGTGCTGAAGAAAGTGTCATTAGTTTTCTGGAGTTCATTAGAATGAAACAAAGCCTTCTGGCAATGCGGTCTTCCACTAATACAGAATATTTCTTTAAACACCAGTGACAAGTCCTTTTTTTTAGTCCCTGTGTTATATGCACCCAATGTATAAGGCTACTATCAAGATTATTCACTAAAGTGAGAATTCAAAGGGAATTCACAGTGAATTTCACATTTTAGGCCAAGGTAGCTGAACTGGAAGGATAGATGACTTGAGAAATTTTCCCATTTAGTTATTTTGTCTTAAATTTGAAATTCACTTTTAATTCAGTTTGCCTTCTCACCTTCGTGAATAGTCTTGATTGTTCTTAAATCAGGACTATCCCGCAGAGTACAACATACTCCTTCTAAACACTGCAGTTGTAGCAAGCACCACTCTCAGAGAGTATCTCACTGCCTCATTGGACATTACAGTCTGAGGCGTAACTAGAAACCATGGGGCCCTGGTGTGAAAATTGCCCTGGGGCCCACCCATGTGTGGTCCCCCACACACACATTCAGACTCACACATGTAAACACACACACACACATACATAAACACCTACATACAAACACACACGCATGCAAAATGTTTAAGTCACTCTCCTGTTTCCTACCTTTTAGATGCAGGAGGGTGACTTCCCTGGGGTCCAGTGGGGGCTCAGGAGGAAGTGACAGGGCTCTGACCTCATCACAGGTCATGCTGTTAAAGTAAATAAAATAATATAAATAGCTTGGTTGATGTTACATGCAAAGCAGTGTGTGCACGTCCATTAAAATGCACAATTGTGTGAAGATGTAAAATCCAATCATGAAACACCCTCCCTCCCTCCACACACATACACTTGCTAGCACTCTCATGCAAGCTCAAACTTTCTGCTATCCTCTAGCCATTTTGCATTCCATAACTTTTTTTTTACTTCTGCTTTTACTCTTTAGCCTTTATGGTTCTACCCCACTCCTAAAATGCAGGGTTAAAGAGTTGAACTTACCTGAAATCCAGCACAGGGTGAAGCTCCTGACGCTCCTCTTCCCACCCAGTTCCAACTTCACAAGCTTCCTCACATGGTCCAATCAAATGGTACTTAAAGAGAAGCATGTGATTAGACCATTCTCACTGTCTCAGCACATACATGCGCTCGGAGCCGTAAGGGGAGGAATGGGGGTGTTGATGGGGAGGACTGCACTTCTATTTAAAAAAAAAGAAAAGAAACGGGAAGCGGCAGAGAGAGCTGGGAGGAACTGCAAGGAGTGAGGAAAGAAAAGCAGGCATAACAAACTTCCCTTTGGAATCTGACCACAACTGTCTCCAGCACACTGTGTGCGCACAGAACAGACGTAAAATATTCACAGAATTGACATTAGACAGCCTGGAACTAAGTCACATGTGCTGGGGGTGTAACTATCCCCTGGCACACAAGTTTAAAAACCTCGGTATATGCAGAGTTTCAAGCTGAGATGCTGCACAAACAGAGTAAACCTTTAACATCCTGTTTAACTTGGTTTAGAGATTGACTACCTATTATTATTGATGGGATATTCATATGCAAAAGGTAGCTATTTTCAAAGCAAAAACTAAAATGTCATAATTCTAGAAGATGAGTTTGAGGATTTGTAACAGCAATGACCAAGGTTTTAAAGACCTTCAGAGTCATTGTACCATAGGACAATGCCACATAGTATTTGTTAGGCATTAGATATTTTTTCATATATATGCCGGGAGGTTATATTAGATATACAAAAAAAATAAAATAAGCCACAACATTTAAAGCCTCGGGCTGATGGTTATGCAGTACAATGGTAACCACTTGTGGCCTGCAGCCCTGCAGTTAGGCCACCCTGCCTTAAACAGTGACAGTTTTAATGTGAAGATTCCAGGATGACTTGGTTTTACTGAGCATGTCAATTGGTGGCCCAGAATTTCAGTCTCCATTGAACAGATTACTTCTGACAAGGGTCAATGCACTCACTGCTTATTGCTCAAAACTACAATGAAAGAAGAGCGTATGGCTGAGACATAAACACTGCCTGGATAAAAGGCAAAAAGTCATATAAAGGATAGCACAAAATCTAACTATGATAAATAAACAGTACATAAAATAAAAAAATAAAAAAATAGAAATGTGAAGACTCAGAATATATGGCTTCAGGAAATATAGGCAGCAAGTCAACAAACACATGGCTTTTGGCAAGAGCTGAGAAAACTATTGAAAAACTAAAATACCTAGATACATGCAAGCCAGTATTGAACAAAGTGACAGTTTTGTCAATAAATTCACACCTTAGTCATAATCGGTAACAATCAGATAGATTTGTGTTATACAATAAGTGATAGTCCTGAGGTTTTAGAAATATACAATTTATATTAAAAAAAGGCTGAAATAATCAGTTATCAGTATTGGACCACTTTAGAATCATCATACTGCATTCTATTACAAAGCAAAGTAAATATCATGTTGGGTGTGAGTTTTTCTAGAACATTTAGAAAGAGCAGATTTGGGTAATAAAAATGGGTTTTGTATTCTGTCACTTTTTCAGTTATTTACTTTAAGCTGTTGGATATTGACTGATCGCCGCAAAGCCATATCTATCATATCTGTGGTAAATGTCTCCTTTTAAACAACTTCACACTAGGCTTAAAAATAATAATATTGAGGGCAGGGCCTGGGCATCATGGCGGCTGGCTGCACATCGAGTGAGCTCCTGACCTCACTCTCCAAATTAGCCTGAAAAACCGACAGCCAGCTCACAAAAATCGCACTACTCAGCTACATAATACTTACTGAATCCCTGGGGGAAGCTCTTGACGATCGGAGCAACTCACCTGCTGATATTCCCCATGGAGACCCCGCTGCGGCCTACCGTCGCTGACGGATTGGTGGAACGGTTGATCACTGTATCTAAGCGGCGCAGCTACAAGTGAGATCTGCCACATACCCCGTTCTTCCCCCCTCTGGACCGCCGGGGTATATCCTAGTCCTCACTGAGGCAAGCATACGCCTGAGCAGCGACCCGCTCGCAGAAACCAGGCCCATGAGGCGAATCCAAAATGGCCACCAGACAGGAGACACCACAACCGCGAACAAGCCAGGGAGCGCCGGAGTGGCTGGACTCCTTCAATGACATGTTTGAGGCTATATGTCAGACATTCTGGTGCCAACTTGCCAACCAACCTCGGGTGATATCACCCCCTGCCGTCCCAAGGCTCCACAAGAACACCCTTGTAGCCAGTCTCTCACCACAGGCTTCTCTGGACCTGCCTGCACCTCCTGCAGTACAGCTGGATGGTACTGCTGGACTCTATGCCCGTTCTTCTTCCAAGCTGTGGGCCCAATTGGAGGTAACCCCCCCACCACTGTCCATATACCCAGGGATCTGTTCGGAACCCGGAAGACCCATGGGCCCATGATCCTGATGAAGGGATCAATGGACTTAGGAAAGGTCTCCCGCTAAAGCCTTGGGCCGAAAACTCAAGGTACGGAGACCTCGCAGACCCCCACCCTGGCAGCAGGTGACAGTACCAGTACACACAGACCTGGAAACTGGAAAGGTGAAACGAGAGCATATGTGCCTGATCAACCATGGCATGGACTGTCTAACTATCTGACGGGAAGACCACACAAGGGAGTCGGCTGAAAGCCAGGCATGTCCAGGGGGACTCTAACAAGCAGAACCTCAGCGACACCTGCAAATACCGACTGCTAAACATACCTGTATTTATGTTTTCTTTAGGCCTGTTGACTTTTATTTTATTTAGATAACACCATGACACCACCAAGTCACCCCCCCCAGTGGAGCTACTTACTGCTGTCAACAACCCGTAACTACTAGCCCAGAGCTAGACTGGCAATCTCTCAGTGGTTCCAACCTATCCTCAATATGACACGCTACTAACCTTACTAGCTCAATAGGATAACCATGCACAGAGAACGTTTAACAAGTAGTGCGAACCGGTCATTTGTTCCTTTTTAAGTTCAGACATGTATATCTATTTTATCTTGCTTTCGTTCCACTTGGCTATGTCAGCTAAATCAACAAACGCCAACTACACCTTGGTAGTAACTCTTGCAAAATTAGAATAACCTGTTTATCCTATGTTAAGCTCCTTTTAAATATCTAGACAGATATACCCTGGCGTAAGCATTATTAATCTGTAATTATTTCATGAATACCTAGCCCGATATACCATGTCTTTAGCATGTTAACTCTATAACAAACGCATAACTATCCTGATATATCTTGTTATTTATTTTTATAAAAATATGGCAGCCTAGCTTAGGAGTTTACGCTGTTGTATGTTGACATATCTATTTTTATGTTTACCTGCTTTAACTCCTTTATCTATTCTGTAAACTGTGAATCAAATGCCATAAAAAGAAGCATGACAAAAAAATAAAAAAAATAATAATATTCTAGGGGCTACTTTAGAAATGTCTGTTTGTGTGTATGTGTGTTTGCAGAAAGCTATTTTAGAGTTTAGCGATATATAGATGATATTTATTTCAGTGGTAGAAGAAATTGTTTTAATAAATGTGTGGTTGAAGAGAAGCCACTGTTATAAATGTTGTACTACAGGGCATGGGGAAATAATTTAAGTACATTTTTGTGTGTCTTATTGTTAGGGGTTTGGTCACCACGAGTCTAAAGCTTCCCAGGTGGATAAGAATGAATGACCTGAGTGTAATCTTTGAAAGGGCAAACATTCAACAAGAAGTGAAGAAGTAAAATGAGAAATTGAGACTAGTTCAGAAATGTCGGACATTTATGTACCTTTAAACAAAGAAGAAAAAAAGACATTTGTAGATAGGACAGTCACAGAGAAATTATTCAAAAGGATAATCATGAGAAATAGTAAATAAATAAATATTAGAAGAATAATTATAAAAAAAAATGTAAAAAAAATTGTTTGCAAATGGTTTATAATGAGAGAAATAAAGTGATGATTGGAAATGTTAATTAATGCAGAGGAAACATCAGGTAGATAGAAAGTATACAAAAAAAGATCAGTGACAACAAAAGTGGAAAAGACAGACAGCCGTGTACAGGCGCAATTAAAAAAAGATTGAAAAAGACTGGAGACAAACTTCACAAGAGGTATAGGCCTATTATACAGACAGACAATTTAAAGTGCTGTGTAAAATTGAAGAAGAAGGGAGATGGCACAGAGAGGGCAGAATGATAGGTGGGGATGTAGAGAGAAAGAGGAATATAAATACAGTGGACAGCGGAAAGGGAAATTAGATAAAGATAGAGCAAGAGGTAGATGAAGATTTGTGCCGCTGGCTTGTGTGGGATTGAATTCCCTTGTGGATGTATCTTGTCCCTTCACTTTCTCTCACCAGAAGGGGTGTCACAGGGACACTGAAGAAGAAGGGGGTGTTAACTATATGCAGTATGCGCTGATGCAGAAAGGATCTCAGGGTGGGAATAGCCATCTCCCCCCTAATTCCTCCTGACAGTTACTGGCTGGCGGCCTACTGCCTAACCTTATCTGCAGAGCAGAGCATTAAAAGGTGTGTAATCCCCCTGCTTTTGTCAAAAAATATATATCACAGCAGCGGGGAAAGGTCAGAGGGAAATCAGGGAGCAGGAGGAAGACATAGTCTAGCAGGCAGATCTACTAAAACTGTGCCTGGAATACAAAATATTCTGGACAATGTCAGATATATACATGTATTCTTATAGAATGCTTGTCTTTCTCTTCCGGAGAGCGCTATACACCAGGCATAAAGTCCAGCCATTATACTCATGTTAAGGGTTACAATGTCACCACTAGGTCATGCCTATCTGTGACTGAAGTTCAGGTTGCCATATTTCATGCCATTCTTTTGGCTTACAGTATCCTGGACTACAAAGAAAGAATTTTCCTTTTTCTGATTTACTGATTGCTTTTTTTTTGTAGTATGTATTTCAAACATATTAATTAGATAGAGCTACATTTTTAAGGACAATGCACAACCCACATTTTTGACAATGTATACATTGATATATCGCAATAGATTTGTTTTACAGCACTTTGTTTACATGTCTGCATGTACAAATTGCATAGAAATCACAATCAATTGCTGTCATGTCTTGCATAAAATGAACTTTGATAACTGTATATTAATAGCCATACTTTGTTTAATGAGGTTGGACATTTTAAGATTGCTATCAGTATACTGTACATGCATGTCTTTACATAGAACAGTGTACTTAGCATGTTATAGGATTCCATTAAGATGGGAGATAGAGTATTTATGCTGATTTAACGGAGGTTTAAATTACACATTACACGGAATATGTTTAGATTAAAAACAGGTAAGGAAGCTTATGTTCTAAGATCTCACTATCTAATTATAGTTATAGTGATTAGTGATGCTGCTATAATGAGATTGTGCACCAATACAGTAATTATTACAAATGGTTTTTCATACTTGGGTTAGGTAACAATAAACACTATTTTATGTAATGTTTTTCTGTTTAAGGACAATTGTCAGCTAAAAACTATTTTTAATATCCTAATCCTGTCATCAGGTTTTAAAAGGAAATCGATTTAAAAACAAAATAAAAGATGTATATGTGAAAAATGAGAAACTCATCCCTACCTTTAATATACAACAAAATCCTTCAGCCACATACATACACCTTGGGTCAGACATTGTTTAAAAAGTGAGAGTTAGTCTCTATGGTCTTTCCTGCTTCGCTCCATGCACACAAGCAGGAAATACCATAGAGACTAACTGCTGGTTTTCAAATGCTGTCTGACACAAGGTGTATGTATATGGCTGAAATATTCTGTTGTATATTAAAGGTAGGGATGAGTTTCTCATTTTTTTTTTTTTTATCGATTTCCTTTCAAAACGTGATGACAGGATTAGGATATTAAAAATAGTTTTTAGCTGACAATTGTCTTTAAACAGAAAAACATCACATAAAATAGTGTCTATTGTTACCCAAGTATAAAAAATATTTGTAACAATTACTGTATTGGTGCACAATGTCATTATAGCAGCATCACTAATCACTATAACTATAATTCAATTGTGAGCTCTTAGAACATAAGCTTCCTTACATATACAAAAGGTAAGGATGAGTTTCTTATTTGTTTTCATATAATTCATTAAAATAAAATCTATTTCCTTTCCAAAGTGATGACAAAATTATGATATTAGAATAGTTTTGAGTTGACAGTTGTCCTCTAATATATAATTATTATATAATATTCTGAAAGACATACATGCTCTATACTGTAATTAGTCATCTGACAACAATAGAGTAACCATATACTGAAAAAGACCGAGCCACCTTTTCTCATGCTTGTCATTTTCCAGAGCCGTCACCAGAGACGGCAATTGGGAAAAAAGCTCTTTCTACGGTCCCACGGTCTTGCGAGATCTTCCTTAGACCTCGATGCTGTTCTTTAGCGCATGCACAAGAGTACAACGCTTACATCGGCTCCTTGCAGCCGAAGCGTCAGTAGCTGAAGAGGATTGGATGGATGATGATGGCGGAGCCCACAAGGGACATGTTCAGGTAACAAAATCTCACCTTTCCTGCCCCTTGTGACCAGTGGACCCCCAACAGTGAAGTCACCAATGGCGGCCTGTGCAAATTATGTATACGCCTCAGACTGTGACAGAGCCACTTTAAATTATGTTGGGACTGTATTGATAATGTTGCAAAAAATTTACAAAGTCATGATAGATGAATATAAACTGATAATGGTATTTTCTATATACTAATAGTGGTGCATTACAATCATTACATTGATAATTAAGTTCTATATATTGATTATAGTTCAGTATGTTTATAGAAGGTAAATATACAGAAAATAAGAGGTCAGATTGTGATTTAGAAAAATGCTGGGCATTTATCAACAAGTATCAACATATCTATAGAGGTGAAAGGTAATGCCAGTTTTTGTCCTAGAAATATCACAGTATAGAAACATTCCTGGCACAGTTTACCTTGAAGATAATGGAATGGATTTTGTACAATATAGGTAATATATAAAAAAAAATTAAAAATGAGGGAGTTAGCAGGGACATATAATATCCATGGAGCATAAAAAAAATATCTGGGCAAAAGATGTTCATTGGAGCTAAAATATTAACTTTTTAATCTTCTTTTTAAAAGTGTCAAAGCTACATTAGACTAGCATATAGAATGACAATATCTCACTTTTCAGTGAGTCACTTATGTTAAACATATTCAGTTCCTGTGATGTTACCATAGTAAACATGAAATCCAGTCTACCACAACGTTTACATGAACATGACTATTTGATAAATCTTAAGGACGTTAAATATTTTGTGATGTTGCAGATCCAAGCTCTCTGACTCATACATGGATTAAAACCAAAAATGGACTACATGTTAATTAGTAACACCAATAACTGTGATCTATCATATCCATTTCATAGAGCGTTTAAAAAAATTCTAAATGATAAATCATTACACCATTTTAAAAGCATCCTCAGATACATTTTACTTAAAGAATTATTCTCAAGGAAGCAAAATCTATGTTAACAAGAGAGTGCAAAAAAAAAAAAAAAAAAAAATCCCTAACAGCGAAAGCTGCAGGGATCCTCTAAGATACCAGGAGCACTGTGGGATCTTGAATACAACCGGCACTGAGTAATGAGGTGTGTTTTTAAGGATTTTTCAAAGGGGGTTTGTAGAATGAATGGGAAGAGGTAGGGAGGGGAGACGGTTAACTCTCCACTCGTCAACCTCAATGGGACGCCCTGAACAGCTGTGAAAAGGGTCTCAGAGTTTTTCTCACGCCCAAACGACATCTCACCCCGCTGAGGTCAGCCTCGCTCACATCACTAATATATACACAGTCTGTGTCCCATATCAATGCAGGCCGCAGCTTCGTTTTATGCATATATGTTGAAAGACAAGTGACACTAATTTCTAGTCAACCACAATTCTTTTGTGTGAAATATCTAACACAAAAGACGACTTCTTTGGGATTTGTGTTTAGACCACTTTTAACTTATATGGGAAGATTGATATTTTGCCAAGGCAGCCATTCATACATATATATATATATATATATATATATATATATATACACACACACATACACACACACACACACACACACACGTATTTATACAGAAATATCTACTGATTATTCTAGCACTTTTTTTTTAAAATACAGTTTTTATGTATGCAACATTGAGTTAGTAACCATTCACACCACCAGTTTAGTAAGTTATACATTTTAATGACATAATGACTAATAGACATTAGTGAAATTTTCCAGACCGTTATATATGTTCCTATACAGGAAAATAAACTGTGCATTCAAATGTGCAAGAAATGTGGTTTTGTTCAGCAGTTTTAGCACGTAAAAACCTGTTTATAAATAGTCATGTGGTGGACATTTACCACCCACACTCTATCACCTCGTTTTTGTGTGACCTGTCTTTGTCTATAAGTCTACTCTCTGCCCTCACACCCCCTGTCTTCCTGGTAAATGTGACCCTCACCATTTCTGCCAACAAATTCTTTCTATCTCTCTCTATTTCTCGCCAATCCCACACCTTTTCTGCTTGTTATATATATCATCAATACAATTGTGTATCCATATATAAAAACATGATTGCATGAATATTATTTTATTCATATTTTGGATCCCTCATCTATCCACTCATACTCTACTTAGCTATAGAGGAACAAGTGGCCTTATTTAAACAACCTTATGTATCATATTGTACCCTATGTTAAAAAATTTAGATAAATATTGCACTTCCCATACTTCCCCTCTACTGTAAAATAACAGACAGAGACATTAAATGTATCATGACAATTCCCTGGACATTGTCCTAGGCTGCAAAAAACTATTTCAGTATGTAGTGTAGAAGTCTCAACCTCACAAACAATCATAAACAACTCATTTAATCCAGACACGCACTCAAACCACACAAGCGAACACTAGCCAACACTCAACACACAGGCCCTGGTCGAACCAGAGACATGGCACTACTATCCAAATCTCACGGAGAGGCTCTTACTTGGATCCTGTCATTAGACAAGTGTATCTGTGTGTATGTGTTTGTGCATATCTGCTTCTGTGAGGAAGTGTAAGTATATACACGTATGTATGTCAGTGTATGAGGATCCGTGTGTAAATAAATATGTATGAGTGCAATCATGTGTGATCCATATATTCACCTATCAGTAATGACAGACAAATCTGCATTCATATACACATCTCACTGGCCCCTTCCAATTGCCATGATTTTGCCAATAAAAAGTGAAAGGTTGTACGTAAATAGATTACCTACACATTATTTCATTATAATACTACGGTACATTCCACAGAATTGTAATGCCAATATGGTAATTTGTCTGTGAATGAAGTTAATTGACTTTGTTAGTGAACTACCAGCAGATCTCACTGTAACAGCTATTCTTTCAGTACCTTAATTATACTTACCCAAACACTTCTCTCAAATTATTATGCTGTCCATCCCTTTGTATTGTCCTTGCAACCTGCAGAGGGCTCTCCTATAAACTTCAAATACTATTGTCTTTCCTCTTGTTTAAAAAAAAAGGAAAGTTTGTCATTAACATATGAAAGGGGAAAGGATTTGATTGTAGGGCTCAATTTCTTAAAGTTTAAATAAACAATGTATTCTTCCCTTCTTCTTCCTGTCTTCTTGACATTCTTGGTTTCTTTTTTCTTTTTTTTTCTTTCGCTGCTACTTTTTTCTTTTTTTTGTTGTTCATGTGGCTGGCATTACCTTGATTGTTGGCAGTAATGTGCCAATTCATCCCCAGATTAATCTTGTAACTGAGAAAATTTGCTCGAAAGGGGTTAGCTCTGTGGTGTACGTTTTCACTTTTTCTTTTATTTTCTGTCTTGTGCTACTGTTTGTATTGTAAAGCTAAGTAAATCTAAATTACCCCATTTAAAAAAAAAATACAAAAGACAAAAAAAAAAAAGAATTAAAAAAACAAAACAAATATATATATATATATATATATATATATACAATATAAAAAAAGGGATCCAATAGCACACATAATAACACAAGAAAGGTATAAACTAAATGAGAAAAAATGAGATCTAATTTTACATTATCAGGTCTGACAATGACCTAACACCCAGTAAAGTCCTCATCTCTCATTATACTTTAGCATTTATAGTTATTATCAAAAGGGGGTAAATAGTACAAGGTCCTTTAAACTTTCTGCTTTATTTAAATAGGGAACATAAGTATTCCATGTTCATGTTACATCCATTGGTCCCATAGTCTATTAGTAACAGTTAGAAGCTGTGCGTCCAACCAAATGTCTCCCTGATCTGCATTTTGTGCATAGAGAACAGGTATCCATTTCATACCCAGATCCGACGTATTGCTTCCATTTATTTTCTAATACAAATATTGACAGGCATGATGTACATTTGCTTATGACCAATCCTGAAGCAATAAAGCCTTTAAAATCCTAAACTAGGCTTAGTTTCCCTGTGTTATTTCATATTGTGTCACGTGTTACATTATTATAGTGAAAACACTTAGTAAAGCTCTATAAGGTCACAGAGTAACAAAGGCACATATTATGGTAAAAACAAATTATGAAACAAAGTTTAAAAAAAATAAAAAATCAGACAAACCAAAAATAATTTGGCTGAATAGTAATACTTTTTGCCATTATAAAGAGTGGCACCAATCTTATTATAACGTATCTTTCCTCAACTATCAATACATCCCTAATGTATATACTGTATAATTGCCTTACATATCAAATTTGCGTTATGTTTCTTTATGATGATGCGGAGTGTTACTTTATAGAGAATATATATTTGTGCAGGCATCTCTTGCGTTCTACATATCTATCAAGGTTGCATCCAGTCCAGATAAAGGCAAAGTTATCTTTTGCCATGATTCTAGTGCCTGCACTGTAACTACAAAGCTGTACATTAGAAAATGAGAGGCATTGCCTCCCAATAAATTTCAGGTCACAGGCTATGAGAGGAATTTAGTAATTTGCAAGTCCTATGCTACAAGAGTGTGTGACAGGCATGTCTCCCTCCTTCTTGTCCAACAGTCAGGCAACCCTGCATCTCTCCCTTCTGCCAGTTACACAAACATGAGTCTCATTCTCTGTTTAGAGGAGGGCGCACAATACTTATCTATTATATAATGAGGCGAGAGAAAAGATTGGGACGGAGCCATTTTGTCCACCCAACACACACAGGACCCTCTTATTGTGTCTGCTCAATCCAGCTATGAATGGCATTATTGTGTCTGAGATCCTATTCATACCTCTCTATACTCACCCCATCCCCCTTCTCTCTTCCCTCCGTTGCCTCTCCTAACCCCCCCTCACCCTCTCTAGGCTCCTGGCGGCTCAGCCGGCGTGCGTGGATAAATTAATATGAATTTGAAAAGGGTCTTGTTTTCCAATGACATGTCCTCTCCACTTTCTCACGATGAGGGCTGTTGGGGGTGGAAATGGCAGTGGAGGAGGAGATGTGGGGAGCTAGGTCTGATTCAACGTCATCTGTTGTGGATAATTCCTATTCCTGGCCTTGTTTGGTGTATTTATCATCAAGATTAAGTCAAGGACCTATTCTGGTGAATAGAACAGTAAATACATTCCGTATTCTGAAAATGATTTAAGAAAGCATTTGAGGCATGTAATTCTACTATGAAACATTATAAACACAGCAAATGAGAAAGGACCAAAGAGGTTTAAAGAGCAGTAGTTATTATACAGAAAGTATGCATGAAGCTATAAGAGGAGTTATAGGGAGGGGAGGTTATGTTTGTACTACAGGGAGAGGTGTATGGCGCAGTAGGAGGAGTTATACAGACGGTTTAAAATGTGCTAAAAGCAGAAGAATTAGAAAATGGTATAGCAATAACCCACACATTTTAAATAGCAAAATACGCGTGCTGAGGCCAGTTACCTCTGCGGCACTTATTAATGGCTGGCTGTATGAAAAGTAGACCTTCAGACTGAATATGACTGCCACACAACTGGCCATATTGTTGAAATAATGAGAGATAGAAAGCTTGGTAGTTATGGAGGGGAGCCGTATAAAATGAAAAAGATAAGGTTTGAGCCTGCAAGCATATGAGAGAAAAAGAAGGTTTATGTAAAGAGAATGGGAAAAGTAAAACAAAAAAATCTGGACCAAAAAAAAGAATTAAGGGCAGTATACAATGAAAATGGAAAATAGAAAGAGGAACGCTAAATAGAATACAAAGAAACACATATTAAAATGCATTTATATTGTTTCTATAACATAGAATGCACTAATTCACCAATTGTATTGTGTAATTGGAAAGACAGCTAGTGTGCACTTAACCATTGTGAGATGTAACACATTACTCAAACTGTTCTCTTACTGTAATACTGAAAATTACAAATCTCGGGTAACACATAGCTACACAATCAAATGTTTTCCGATACCCAGATTGTGCATGTGCTATTGTGTCCTAGGAATGTGTATGCTGTATATAGGTTTAATTAGAAGACACTGTTTGTTTTACTCAGCTAATACCCACCATCATCGAATGTATAAAAATTATGTTAACAAGCAATAATTTGTCCTCTTTATTTATAGGCTTGATGTGCAAATATAGGATGTTTCATCACAGAATCTCCGTGGGATACATTAACATCGCTGCCAACAATATAACTACAGATGAGCTTTATTGAATGTCATCCTACCTGTCAAATAGCCATCCAAGATTAAAACAAAAGGATGTGAAGAGCTAGTGAAATAAATCAGAATGAACATACATGGTACCGCAACAATTTCAGTAAGTAAAGTTGGCAAGGCAAGATCAGAGGAAAATGAAAGTAAATGCGTGACTTTGTTAAACATGGCAAAAACACTCTTGGACAAACTGATGAATTAAGCTTGAGTGTTAGGCGTCTCATAACACGAGTAGCCACATCTGACTATATATTAACAAAGGAAGCAGTATTGTAGTAGTCATTGTCAAGTTGGCTTTTCACAGGAGGTAAGAGCAAACTAACGAGGGTGGGAATTTCTACAAGGCCAGTACACATAAATTAAAATTGAGAAAAATGATCTATACATTGCGCTAATAGAGACGATGTATCAAATTTTGGTCACTTTCTAACCTGTCAGTCAGTTGTCAGCACAGAGTTGCCATAAACCTTTATGCTGACAAGTGAGTGACAGAGGAGACCAGGAGAACCATCCTACAGACAGTTCTCCTGCTCTTTGTCAAATATATTACCCTCTGTAAGAACATCCCACGTGATGTAATTCTACTCTGGTTCTGATGTGCTGGCAGTGGAGCCAGCATGTTGCCGTTGTTAGTGAGAATTGTCCTGCTTGGGGAAAGGTCCCCAAGTATATCCAACCATATCATGAGAAGTACAAGATGTAGGCATTACTATAACGTCCATGATGCTGATGAGACGGCTGCCCTGTTGCCACTGGGTAGAAGGTAAGTATGACATCTAGAAAGACATTTAAATATATTTTATCACTGTATAAACAATATATAATTAATGCATATGAAGAATACATTAGTTAAAGTGAACCTGTCATGGCAAGAGGTTTGCACATTTGCAGCAAACGTGAAAACGAGAGATCAGTAAATTCTCATTTTATATTCTATAAGGGAGTTGACTCTAGCCAGGAGTACCCCTTTCACCCTCTTAGCTGCAGTAAGACAATGTTGTATTAAGAAGGTTAACTTAACCATAGTAATGTGCTCTTTTAATGAGCAGCATTGTAGCGCTTGCATTACCTGTATGTAAAACCTTTATTTCCATGGCAACATCTTCATTCATGAAACAATACTGTATCAACTTGAGCTGCCTGAGGGTGACAATGAATGATAAACAGAATATATTTTATATTCTTGTTCACAATTTTCTGCTATGTAAATGCATACTGTTGCCCACTATTTAAAAAAGAAAAAAAAAAGTCTTGAATTTTTATGTGGCTGATGCTGAAATAATGCTAAATCTTGAAAAGCCAGCATTGTGGGTATAGTCACAAAAAACAAACTGGCATAAATACACTGGGCGTTTGATTGACTGACTGGTGTTGAGTTGCCGTGATAACACTTCTTCTTGAGCACATTACTTACCAGATGAGGTAGATACGGGTACACTTTACAATATTTCAACTCTTAAACTAGATATGTAATCTGTAATCACCATTTTCACCACGTGTTATAGTCATATAATGGTTTTCAAAGATGAAAGGCTTGTTTTAATTTATACAAAAGAAAAACAATAACACAGCATGCTTCAAATAGTTTTGCAAAAGTGCTACTGTAGGACTATAAAGAATTCCTTTGCAGGTGTAATTGTAAGATGCTTCCCAGCTTGACTGTTGTCTCAGTTTTCCCCGTGACATCCAGACAGCTAGGTGTGGTCACTCCACAGGTGCCTTACAGGGGAATTGAATTCTGTATCCTAAGCCATCTTTTCTGCCTCTGAGCCACTTCAGAACTTATGGTTCTAGCGCTGTTTACCAGGTATTGTCTGCAGCACTGGGGGCTGGACTTCACCTGTGGTGCTGTCTGTCACTCTAAGTCCACCTGAGGCAGAGTACTTGTTATCCACGTATATAACACTGCCTCTCCCTGAGGGCAGTATCAGTTTGTTGTTTCCTGTTGCCTAAGACTGACTTATATTGTAACCCCTGCTTGTGGAAATATTCGTTATTGCCTGTCTGCTGCCTGCCCTGATCTTTGGAACCATGCCTGACTACTCTGCTGGATTTGCCCTCGTCTGTTTCCTCGTACCCAATTATTGTTCCTGTCTAAGCCCCCGTGCACAGATTTACAGCCCAGGTAGCCTCTTACCTGGTTACCATGGGTTGTGTTTATCTGCAAGGGTGAGCATACATGTCTGCACTTTGGACTCCAACCAAGGTAAGATTGTGACATAAACTGACCCTCATGGAGTCTGCAGAGATGTGGAAGCTGCTTACCCAGCCTGGCCCAGACTGTTTCGGAGCTGCAGCGAGAAGTTCAATTTCTTAAAGGCACAGTACGTCCAGAAGTTGCAGACTAAGAGTCCTATCCTTGACAGTTGGGGGTCCTTCATGACTGCTATGGACTCGCAGTGCAAAACCTCTAGTAAAACTACTGCGCCAAGGCCTGCTCCACGTTCCAGAGGATCACAGAGACCGGGAGATCCAGTACCAACACCACACCTCCTTGTTGCCTCCTTATGATCCGGTTCATAGGAAGACTCCAGAGGTATCCAATGTTCCTTTTTTGACTCAGAGGAACCTATGGAAATAGGACTCGTCCAGATCAAAGTGACGCATGAAGAAAGAGACGGGAGGAGAAGCCATGGTCTCTGTTTTTACTGTGGAGAAAGGAGACACTTCATCTCTCATTGCCCTGTTCGCCCACCAAGGCCTCCAGCTCTCTGACTGGCTACTACCTTTCTTCATCCTATAAGCTCGGCATACCAGCTTGTAAGACTTCAAAGATGCTGTCATGCCTTTTTGCTTGGCCTCCCTGTAAGAATATACACCTCCTGCTCCAGAGACGTCTGCACCTTCTCCTGAAGACACTCCAGTTAAAGCCAGTGCCATCACTACTTCCTGTCTTTTCAAAGAAGGCCTACCTTCGGCTTGTACCTATGCCTTAAATGGTACTAAAGTCTGCAAAAAGGATTTGAAAATGTTCGAGAAGGCATTGCAAGCCATGAACTCCACTCCTGTTTATGTACCAAAGGCAAAAATTTCAAAGTATGTGCCTTCTGGAATTGAAGTACTCACCACCTGCGCCCAGATCATCAAAGACCTTGACCACTCTCCAGTGGTACCAGAAGCTGGTACTATGGAGCCCCATGCTCTCTGAGAACTCTGATATCAAGAAATATTCTTCTACGGATAGCGAATCCAACAGTGAGGAGGAGTACTACATCTACAAAGAACCTGTTCACGCCTGGAGGGTGTTCTTGAAGGGGGGGATACTGTCACAGTTCTCTCCGTGCCATCCAGACGGCTAGGTGCCTTACAGGGGGAATTGAACCTGGGTCCTTCTGTATCCGAAGCCATCTTTCCTGCCTCTGAGCCACTTCAGAACTTATGGTTCTCGCCCTGTTTACCTGGCATTGTCTGCAGCACTGTGGGCTGGACTTCACCTGTGGCTGCTGTCTGTCACTCTAAGTCCACCTGTGGCAGATTACTCATTATTCATGTATATAACTTCCACTCCCTGAGTGCAGAGTCAGTTCATTGTTTCCTGTTGCCTAAGACTGACTTGTGACAATATTCGTTATTGCCTGTTTGCTGCCTGCCCTGACCTTTGGAACCGTGCCTGACTACTCTTCTAGGTTTGCCCTTGTCTGTTTCCTCGTACCCGGTTATTGTTCCTGACTAAGCCCCCGTGCACAGATTCACAGCCCAGGTAGCTTCTTACCTGGTTACCATGGGTTGTGTTTATCTGCAAGGGTGAGCATACATCTCTGCACTTCGGACTACAACCAAGGTAAGATCGTGACAACTGTCACTTAATAATTTGTTTGTAGGTGTTTAATATTCACTGACTGCAAGTCCCGCTGACCTACTATTGCCCACCCTTGACTACAAACTTCACTACCGTCCTCCTACTGCTGATGCTCTGATAGTTACTGACATAATCAGATGTATAGGGGTTTATGGGATGGAAATGTGAAACAGACAGCTTAAAGATACAGAGTGGACGGGGTAAATTGGGTTCAATTCATTGTGGGCCAACTGTATAACACATATATTTGAAAGAAGACTTTATAGACTGGTAAAGGCATTTTTACAGTCTAGGTTGGTATATTGTGTGACATGGATGACATTTAGTCTGAATGGGCATGTAGTATGCCACAGATGACATTCAGGGTAGAAGGGTATACAATGTGACATGGATGGTGTTTAGTCTGGGATGGTATACACTGTGACATGGATGATGGTATACAATGGGACAAGGATTATGTTCATTATGAGACGGTATACAGTATGACACTGGGATGGTATATCAAGTCCATGCTCATGTCTGCAAGAATCAATGCAATTGATCTGTGTCACATGCTAGGGTACGAATCAGTGTGTGGCATGGATCAATTATGTGAAATCTAGAGAAATCCTGAAAAGTGACTTGAAGGTGGTGCATGTTGTATTTATTGTAAGGAATTAGAACAGATAATTTTATACTGGTTGGGTAGAATAAATGAAAACATTTGGGCCATTTTCCACCCTTGGGTAAGGATATGACAGGGCCATACGTAAGTGCAAAGGGCCTTAATTCAGAGTCAAAATGTCTTCCGTGACTCCTCTTTAGATCTATATGTTTCCACCAGTTTAGGTTGCTTGTTTATCATAAAACACGACTATAACTATGCATACCAAAAAAAAAAACTTTACCTGTTTGTTAATTAAAATTTCATTGGTGATGTAAAATGGACCCTTTTTACTAAAAAGGACAGTTCTAGTAAAATTACTACACTAATTACTATTCTCCTACCCTGGTTTGCACATACAGGGGGAGATTTATCAAAGTATTCTGAAAAGTATATATTTTTTTGTTCTTGAATCAGTTTGTATTTATTAGCTTTCATTTAAAAAAAAAAAAAGCCTAAAGAGTGTCAGCGTTTTTTCTGCTTATATTCTGTCACTTCTTTCTAAAATATCAATTTCAGTAAATACTGCCAAATGTAGAGTGGCGGGAAAAAAATAGATCTCTTTTAGTTGAAAAATTAGAGAGATAGAGATATATATATACACACACTGATTAATCAAAAAATGGCAATAAATAACTACAGACAAAAAAAACAAGTTTGATAAATTGTGCAAAAAATATATATTTAAAAAAGCACCAAAAAGGTCCAAGTTGGCTGCAGCACTTTGATAAATCTCAAATTCTTGTATCTTTTTCAGAGACAGGCTGCAAAAGTTATTAAAATATGCTGTCCTTACCTCCTCTGCACATTCAAAGTACGCTTTCGATTTCATCCTCCATTATACATGGGATCTTGATAAATTAGGAGCAGGATGGCTCAATGGTTTAAACATTTGCCTACCCTTTCTAATGAATGATGTCCTTCATGTTGCTTACTATGAAATGACACTAAAAAAAACAACAAACTAGGTTTATTTTCACCAAGTTTCCTATTTGCAATGGAACATAAAGATCCTAACAAACATTTACCTGCGATCAAACGTCAAGGCCACTGCCTAGTTCTCCCTGCAGCCCGTAATCCACCGTCTATCAACGTCACTGTCGCTCACTGGAGGGACATTCCGGAGGATGGTTGAGGGTAGGACTTGGGCATATGGCTATTCATTGTTTGTTGGAAACATGCGATGAGTGCTGATGACCAGTATGCACACACACTGAACAGACTTAACAAATTAGCCAGCTTGGATTTCTAAAGTTTGGCTTACTAAAGGTGGAGCTACATCTGTGGCAGCAATGTGCATTTTCTCTGAAATGCTGCACATGCAGACTCCAAACACCATGACCACTTCAGATCACTGTAGTGGTCATGGTGCTTGGAGTAAACAACAAGGTGAAGTTGATTACTTACTTTTGATATTCGTTTATTCGTTTAGTAGATTTAATCTTTTTATTTTGTTCTATATTTCTAAGCTATGATATTTGGTGGTTATTGAGATATCCTTATGGGTCTTTAAAACAAAAAAAAGTAGAAACAGAATGAGAATTAGCTCAGCCCGATACATTTACTTGTAAGGTACACTCATATCATGGTTTGATGTCGAAGTATACTTATTGTATCGGTGAATTTTGTCTATTGCTATTCTCAATAAAATTGTTAATTTTAAAAAAGTGTTTTTTTTTGTTTTTTTTTTAAACTTAAAGGACCACTATAGTGCCAGGAAAACATACTCGTTTTCCTGGCACTATAGTGCCCTGAGGGTGCCCCCACCTTCAGGGTCCCCCTCCCGCCCGGCTCTGGAAGGGGGAAAGGGGTAATAACTTACCTTTTTCCAGCGCTGGGCGGGAATCCCTTCTCTCTCCTCCGTTCCTCCTCCTGGGCTGAATCGCGCAGCGGCAAGAGCTGTAGCGGCGGCCCGTCGCCTGGAAAGCATTTACAATGCTTTCCTATGAACGCGCTGCGTCTTTCTCACTGTGAAAATCACGGTGAAACACTTATAGCGCCAATGGCATGCCGTGAGACAGCCACTGGAGAATAGAAGGCAACCCATTTCATAAAGTAGCAGTTTCTCTGAAACTGCTATAATTATGAAAAAATGGGTTAACCCTAGCTGGACCAGGCACCCAGACCACTTCATTAAGCTGAAGTGGTCTGGGTGCCTAGAGTGGTCCTTTAACAGAAACAGGTGCTCTTTGCAATTATTTGTGAACACCTATAGTCAGTAGTATATGCAATCATCAAGTGTTAGATCCCCAAGTGTTGCAGAACTACAACTCCCATGGTGCTTTGTTTGCCTTTAGAATGACAAAGCATCATGGAAGTTGTAGTTTTAAAACACCTGGGATCTCCCTTTTGGACACCCCTGTGTTCGATTTAATTGTATTGGACTCCAGAGTGGGCGAGGAGGGTGGCATGGATTACAAATATAGAATAAGGGGGTTCTAGTAAATGGTGTAGCCTTAGTGCTACAACCTATCCCTCCATCTATCTACTACTTTATCTCTCTCGATCCATTCCACCTGCATGACATGCTAATTCAAATGTCAGTCCTATGCCTCTCATCAGCACACACATGTAATGCATGTAGAGGGGATTACCTCCCGCCCTCCTTTATTTCATCCCTCCCTTTCTCCATATGCCCTGTTTAAAAAAAAAAAAAAAAAAGTTACATTTCACCAGATCACGCCCTTCCCCGGCTCAGACAGCATTGCGCTCTTCGCAGATTAAAAAGTCCATCAGTTCATTTGATCGGACCTCACGATGGGGGATTGGTGAGCAGGCCAGGTGTTGGCTTCCAGGAAAGTTATAGCTTAATTTTATGTTATTTTACAGTTTATGTGAGAGAGACCTAAAGAATAATTCCCAATAGGCATTATACATTTTTTTTTAAAAAATTACAAAGGCAGAAAAGGGTTGTAGTAATACCTTAAAGGAACACTATAGGGTCAGGAACACAAACATGTATTCCTGACCCTATATAGTTAAACCCGCCCCATTGGTCCTCCTAAATATTGCAAAATCTTACCTGTGCTCCAGTCTGCTGCTGCTGGCTCTGCCCCTGATCAGCCTGCTTGGGTGATATCAGCAGAAGTGTTGATCTGAGCCAATCGCAATGCTTTCCAATAGGAAAGCATTGGATTGGCTGAGCTTGTTAAAGAGGCAGAGCCAGCACAAGCCAAACACAGCCCTGGACAATCAGCATCTCGTCAGAGATGCATTGAATCAATGCATCTCTATGAGGAAAGTTCAGTGTTGCCATGCAGAGGGTGGAGACACAGAATGGCAGTACTGCAGTGTGCAGCACTGCCCCAAAAGCACCTCTTGTAAATATCTGAGGAGTGTCCACTGGAGGTATCACTAGGCTGTAATGTAAACACTGCCTTTTCTCTGTGAAAAAAAGTGTTTACTGCAAAAAGCCTGAAGGGAATGATTATACTCTCCAGAGCAATTACAAGAAGGTGTAGTTGTTCTGGTGACTCTAGTGTCCCTTACGTAACTCCCTAATGCCTGTGTACTGTGAGTCTGACAATGGGAAATAAAAAATAAATGTAGGTGGGCACACAAACAATGAGTAGACCAAACCCAGTAATTTGTATATAGAATATTCTGAAATGCTAGGGGTTCCATGCCATACTCATTTCATTGTCACATAGAATCCAACACTTCAAACGTCTAACTGGGACACTTTCATTTTGCAGGTTATAACGGTTAGTGTAACGATGGGCATAATATGATATTAAACGGTAAATGGACCAACTTTGAAACTGCTGGTTACCCAGCACATTACCCAGTTGCAGAGCAGCAGTGTAACAAATCTTACCTGTTTATCATTTCCAGGCTACAGACATGATAGAGAGACCAATTACACTCCCCAAATGTGTTTCTTTAAATATATCTAGACATGTTTTATTCCTATCTACTCGTCTTCTTTTTAACTCCTTTTTTCCTGAGAAAACATCTTTGTTCTCATTTTGTGTTAGAGCCTTGCTTCACAATTTCCCCCCTTTCAGCCCTAAGAAATGTCTCCCCTACTTTTTACAATATAACCCATTGAATTTCCACTGTGATATAAAGTGGCATTTCTTCCCTGGGGAAGCAGAAAGGATTTATAGTCTATATCCTCCCAAGTCCCTTCAACGCCCCCAGCCCCCGACTGACCTAGAAACTATCCGACCCTGAATAACACAGCCTGCCTTCAGTATTCACACATTGCATATATATCTCCAAACATTTATATGTGTGTAACTATTTGTACACATGGAGGTTTGGCATACGTATAGCTGGATCCTACTAGTGATGATTAATAATTAAAGTAACAGACAGTATTTAATTTGAAATTTTAAACAAACACACATATATATTTTTGCTGATTGGGTCCCCTGGTCTGTATCTGTGTGCCTATTTGTTGCTGGCTATAAAATGCAGAGGCCCAATTATTTTAGATCCAAAATCACTTTTTTTTTTGTTTGTTTTTTTAAGACTTTTGGAAAAAATTGAATTAACAGAAACTGGGATTGCACTTACATTTATTTTATATTCTAAATCTTTTTTTGTTGTTGTGAACAATTATGTTTATAATATTTACCTGTATATTAAAGGGTTACTTCAACCCTTTTTACTTCATATTTTATGTCTACCCTATTACTAAATATATAAGAAAAGGTTTAATTACCTAAAATGCAGCGCCGGTCAAAGCTCTGTGTGGCTTTTCACATCCTTTTGTGACATCATGGGAGCCACGCAAGGTCTAATCAAAGACTTCTCTTAGAGTAGCCTTTGGACCAGAGCGCAAACTCTGGGCCGGCAAGTGGAAGGGGAGAGAGAGTGGGGAGGGAGACAGGGATGGAGGGAGAATGGCAAACTTATATAAAAAAAAAAAAAAAAAAAATCCCCTAAGCTGATTGGTTAGGTAGGACGGCTTCAAAAAAGAAGAGTTGTCAACATGCAGTGCACATTAACGACTGACAAATTTTATGCACAGAATTGACTTTAGGCAGAGTTCTGGGCTGCCAAAGTCACTTGTGTGTGCTGGGGGTGCAACGAGCCCCAGTACACACTTGTCAATATCTCAGTCTGTGCAGTGTTTCAACCTGCCACCATAACCACTTCTAAAAGTAGAAGTGGTCATGCTGGTTGGAGTAAACCTTTAACTGTAAAACTGCCATTTGTTAAGCTAGTATGTTATGTCCTTTGTGCCATCCTATAAGAACAACTTCATTTGTACTCCTCTATTACACAGGTGGAAATAGGTCTATCTATTCACTAATTAGTGAGGTGTGGCAAGTGAGCACAAACACTAAAATAGCAAATTTAGTCAAGCTGGAGATTTCACTAGGTCTACTGTTCTCCTGAGTTAATTTTGTCGGCTAACAATTTTAGTCAAATGTTAGTCAACAAAAACTAGACTAGAACTAACACAATCCAGATGACTAAAATTACATTTTAGTCAAAAGTCTATGACTAAAACTAAATAAAAATGTGCCGCCAAAATTAACACTGCACAGAGGAGTTGTGGAAGGGGCTTCCCAGGGCTTGTGAGAGGCACCTAGATGGACTGGGAGGACACAAAGAGGGACTGGGGAGGGGCAAGAGAGACAGAGTTTTAACTAAAACCATTATATTTTAGTTGTGTCGACTAAAATCTCCAGTAGATCCTGGAGATTTAGTCTACTAAAACTAGACTAAATCAATTCAGATGACTGAAATATGACTAAAACTAAAATGTCTTTTAAGTTAAAAGACTATGACTAAATTAAGATTTGCCGTCAAAATTAACACTGCTGTTTTCAGTTCACCACAAGCTGATGTTGAAAGCATTGGTAGTTCATAGCCAAAAGGAAACTATTCTGTAAACCTCAGGTTTGTTTTGAACAGGGGTGCCCAAAAGGTAGATCCCCAGTATAACGAGTCACCTGCCACCCTGACTGGGTACCTCCATTGATGGATGCTCCTAGCACTTCTTGAGGATTCCAAACACTCTAACCAACACCACAGGCCAAACCTCTCTTCCTTCAGAGCAAAGCAGGTACAAGCTCTTAAAAGAGCTTAGGAGTGACTATAGCACGGGAATATGCAAAGCAATCCCTTGTATCAGATTCCCCCAATAACAGACAGGACTTCAAATTGAGAGTGAAGTAGAACTGTCTAAAACTTAATTTTCCTTGGGACTAGGCCATATGGTCATTACATTAACATTGCTGTGAAAACTCAATAAAAATTACAGTCAATAAAATTACAGTCAAATCAAAGCAGGCAACATACAGTGACTTATTATAACACAATGGCATATTTTTAAAGAGGTGGGGGAGACAATAATTAACAGAAAATATCTCACGTGCCTGCAGAATTAGCAATATGCAAATCTACCCAAATATGCAAATGAACCAGTCTTGCTATTCAGGTAGTGTGTATTGCTGTTGCTACCAACAGAGGGCACTAGACAAGCTCCATAGCCAAATCCACCTAGTTGGTGGCAAACAGCAGTACAGGAGAGCAGGCAATACATCCCAGGGGCCATAGTCACATGGCAGGAGGCTGGCAATCAGCCTTCTCCAATGGCCAGTGGCGAGGCTGGTTCCGCCACACCCAGATGTTGTAGAACTACAACTCCCATGACGCTTTGCATGCTTTTAGAATGCCTCTAGAATGACAAAACATCATCGATGCTGTAATTTTAAAACATCCTGGGAGCTACCTTTCGGGCACTCCTTGTTTAGAACAATCCATTTACTTTATCAGACTAGTAATCAAGGCACAGTGATGCTAAAAAAAAGAGTGATATACTTTGGTTTAACTGGAGATTCTCCCTACTTGACACAGCAATGCGCACTATCTGGTAAATGAAACAGCCAGGAGATCAATCACTGAAAATTATTAAACACGTGCAAAATAGCTGAACATACATTTTTAGACTACAATAAGCATTATACACTTTCTCACATATGTGCAATGAGTTGTTAACAATAAGCACCTATTGGACATTGCACAGAAGATGCCTGTTCTCATCCCATGTCGCAAATGGCTGCTGATGAGAGAGCATTATGAGGCAGACGAAAGCTGTTTGAATCTCATTGTTTTGCAAAATTCGAATTGTAGCTACAAAAAGGTAATCCTTGGCTTTGCTTAAGATATATTTTAGCTGGAACACAGTCCATTCCGTTTTTTTTTTTTATAAAGATTTTAGTACAACTGATTTGCATTCAATGTACTCCTCTATGGTAAGCCTGATGCACATGGCAAAACAACTGCACTTTAATTAAACATTCCCTTGCTTATCACAGACCACAAATGTTTTACAGTGGAGAGTTACAGCTACTGTAATTGAAAGAACTGTTCTATTAATATAGGAGTACATTTTTATAGAATTACAATAACACGGTGAGCCAGATTTCAACAACACAATGCAATATTTTAGTCTGACTAAAATATCAATCAGAAAAAGTACCTCCCAACATTTGAGACAAAGGGGGACACTTTAATTTTAGAGGTGCGAGTGGGGGTGTGACCAGGGACTGGGCTGTTTCGAGAAATTTTAGGTGACTTATTAACAATTAATGCAACTACAATGTAATTTAGAAAATAAATAATTGTATCTTATTTACACAGACTGATTTCTAAACACATTTAATGTAGTTTAAAGATGCATTACTGGGGATATTATTGCTTTGCAGCTCTGTTATATACTCAGACAGACCAAAAGTGGAGGCTCATCCATAGAGGCACTTCAGGCAGTAGGGACTACTTTGTCTCTGTATTTCTCCTCCATCTGACTTTCTAAGACTCAAGGCAGAGTCTAAGAGTCAATCCCGACCCCTGCACTATGGCATAGTTGACTTCCATACCTAAGATTCTAGAACTCTCTTCCCACTGGGCCTGGTCACTCCTCTAGTTAGATGTCTCCTATAAGACTTGTGTTTGTGAACATGGAAACCAGGAAATCGATTTTTATGCTCTCGGAACACCGGGGCAGTTCATATATATTGCTTCTTTACCTGCTATGATGTCTAATATGACAAACATTTCCATTGTTATGATAAAAATTTACGGCAATTCCTGTGGAACTCGATTCCCTTCTCCATTAGATGCTCACCCAATCTCCACTCCTTCAAAAAAATTGTTAAACGTAATGTTAATAGCTCCCAATTAATTCCTCTCCTGCCACTGTCATTAAAAACACACTAAGATTTCAGTGAATACTATTCTACAAATCCACTTCTCTAATACTATCCTTACCTTCTGTGTCACTATACCCCACTCCCTCTAGCATGTAAGTTCATTGAGCAGGGCACTCAATCCCTCTGTTTCTGTGCATCCAACTTGTCTGGTTACAATTACATGTTTGTTAGTACACCATTGTACAGTGCTGCACAATTTGTTTGGCGCTTTATAAATATTAATAATAAAAGCATCCGGGTTTAAAAGGGGGACTGTCTCTCCAAAGAATAAGACAAATAGGCTGCAAAGAAACATGTGGGGGCCAACCTCATATTGCATACTAGAACACATCATAATTATAACCTCCTTGTGCTTGATTTATTGTTGTGTATACATATATCTTAAAAATTTTCAAATTAATTCATATGGTTACATCATGTGTGGGGTAGCTTGAAGAGGAACTGTTACCTCTAATTTACAGTTACAGTTGCAAACTTGTATTTTTCACATGAAGGTGGGCATTGTTTACCCATCATACAAAGGTTCCTCACTCATTATTTAACCCCTTAAGGACACATGACATGTGTGGCATGTCATAATTCCCTTTTATTGCAGAAGTTTGGTCCTTAAGGGGTTAAAGGGATTACTCTGGACTGGATGTGTTCTCTTGTGACTGACCCTCTGTAATTGTTTTCTATCTCTATTGTTTTAGATCACAGGATAGAGGGTTTTTTTTTTTTTTTTTTACCCATCCAGACTTTTTCCACAACACCCACAGCCAACAAAGGCGAGCCCTTCTTGGTATGCATTGCATGTTAGCGCACAGGAAACACTGCCAGGGTTATTTACTAAATTGAGATTTCAAAGGGAATTTAAAATTTAAGGCCTGAGCAGGAAGCATCGCCGGCTTGTTCTTTGAATGGTCACTTTATTGAAAAACCCTGTGTAAAATCACATTGTAGCAGGGGAATTAAGCCAGGAAGTACTCTACCCCATAATCTTGCTGAAGTCTTGTATATCGTGGACAGTACATACCAGTACTTTGAGGACATGCTAACAGACACACATCAGGGCAATCCTTCGCACTCTTGCGATATCACTGACCCTTAGTGGGGTATGATGTAGCAGCCTAACCTCTATACATATGGGATGCCCCTGATATTGTATGCAGGAATGCTGAATAGAAAAACCTTTAGCTGCTAGCTTAAAATTACTACCCTTAATCCAGAGATTAAATTCAGCATCATTTGTTTTCTATTTCTAATAAACGCTATTATTAATTACAGATAAGACTCTCTGCTGCAGTGTATGGCTGGATAGTAAGACTGGTAGAGACAGATACAAATGGGAGTTCTTGCTCATAACAGATTAGAATCTAGGAGCGTTCAGAATGCCCAGTCTAATCTACTGACATAGTCACAAGGAAATGTGTCTTATTTTTTATTAATAGGTACTCTGAGAGCCGCTTCTGCTGACAGGTGTCCTGCAAGTTATTGCAAGAATGCTATCCATGGTAGCCCATCATGGTGCGTGTTTATGTATGTGTCTGATGCAGTTTATCAGATTGTTTATTAGTGTATTCTCACGGTATGGTGGTCAGGTTCTAGATGCCATGTTGTCCATCATTCACCACATTTTTGAATTAAAGAGTTATGGATTAGGACTCATCCAGCATTGAGATTAGAAATATCTGTGAAATTACATCACAAGATATCACGCACATGTTTACTAGAAGACAGGTAAAATAAGGGCATGAAATAATCTGGATGGCACAAAATGAAATGTATGGACTTTTAGGACGGATCAACTCCAAGATGTATTTTCAATAAAGCTGTACAAAACTCAATCAATCTCTCTCGACCCTCTCTCGAATCAGTCAGTGCTTTATAGTTCCCCATCTGCCTTTAAAGTTAAAAAAAAACAAAAAAAAAAAAGGTCTTGGAGTAAACCGGGAAAGAATGTATATATATCTCTTTCCTGGTTTACTCCAAGACCATCTCTTTTTTTTTTTATATGTATGTAGTTCCGTCCTACCAGTTTAAGGAGTACTTGTAAAGCTCACTGGATCTTAGTGGACTCTAGTCTAACCCAATCTATATGTGGGTTTTTATCTCTACCTGTTTTAGCAAGTTTCTGTATTTAGATGTATTGTGTAACTTATAATAAAACTTTTAGCTGTTGATAAGGAGAAGTTATAATGGGCGAGAGGTGATGAATTAATTTGAAAAATTTGAAGATATAATTCATGAATTGTAGAGAGATGTTGTTTGAAATAGATGGCATTATATGGGAGGTTGTAGGAAACCATTGGAGGCAATTTTATATGGAGCTGGAGGGCTATATGAAGCAATATGTAAAGTTATAGGTAGAGGTTATATGGAAGAATGTGAATTTGATTTACAAGCAGAAATAGTGATACATTATTTTCCAGAGTTATTTTGTTTGTAAACCATGTAATTTTCTTAACTACTGGTGCTCTAGGTCATAACTATTATTTATGGAATTCATTGGGGCTAAGGTGGAAAATGAGGACAATTACCTGCTTCCCATTGTTCTGGCATCCTACAAAAGAAGGGCTTTAATACTGTTAGGGCAACATTGCATACCTTGACAATCTGGTTCTTCCTCCATCCAAAATACTTGCCCTCCTCTACAATCACAATCAGGGGACTCGGATCTGCTGGATTGGCTGCTGGGGGGACTGCCTGGATGGTCAGGCATGTCCCCCGATATATAATGATTTAAAATCAATTAATTATATTACTATAATTCATGACAGTCCAGCAGAAACATCAGAGAATTTAATTTGCAAGCTCTATATTTGACCATGTAACTTTCCAAAACCCCATAAAACCTACACATAGTGTGCATTATTGTACTCGTTGGCAGTGGTGTACTGCGGGGGAGGGGGCTGGGGGGGCAGTCCGCCCCGGTTGCCACCAGGTAGGGGGTGCCATGATCCTGGTCTGGGTGCTGGATGTGTGAGCTGTGCCCCATGGCAGCTGGGGGGGCCAGCGGCAGCCTTTGACTGTGTGACTGCCTGTGATTGTGTGATGCTGCCTGTAACTGTAACACAGGACCTGCCCCGGGTGCCAAATGCTCTAGGTACGCCCCTGCTCATTGGATATCACCACATACTAATATGTGTGTTTTATTGCAGTAAAAGCTAACAGAATCATATTTAAACATTTGATGTAAAATGATAGCCCTATTTCTCCCGTATAAAATATATATAAGAAGTGGGTTCTTTTAACATGAACGGTAACTTATAGGTTGAACAGTCACATAGCTCAAATTCCAGGTTTTGTTTTGGGTCAGAACTTGAAGAATTGTCTCTGTCCTTAAGGAGTTAAACAGTCTGCATTTTGCAGCACACTCATCTGCAGTGTAATGTACTAGATGCAGGGTTAGACAGCCTTTGGCACTCCAGGTGTTGTGGACTACATGTCCTCTGATGCTTGGCCAGCATTATGGATGCAAGAGAACTATGGGATCTGTAGTACCCAACATCTAGCATGCTGAAGATTGCCAACTCCTGCACTAGAGTATACCCATGGGGTCTGGACCAGTGGTCATCCTTCTTTTATAGAATTAACTAATATTTTGCTTTTACACAACTCAATAAATGTCCAGTTCACACTCTATAACTAAACCCATACAGTAATTTGCTAATGCATAATGAAAATTGTAGTTGGAACTTGTCTTAATAGCTTTACAAATTAGAGTCCATTATAAAAGCCAAAATAGCCCCCTTGATGCGTAAGCTAGGAGATCATAGATCTCACTAAGAGGAAAGTTTATAAAACATATAAACTACATAATTAACCTCTGTTTGCATCCATACCAACAAAAAGACAACAATAAACTAAGAACATATTAATAACTACTAAAGGAAAAAAGGTGTATGTTTAATGCTGCTGTTTAAAGAATGAAGAAGCATATCATCTGCCCTTAAACCTCTTCTCCTTATCTACAGACATATATATGGGATAACTACAAAGGACATTTTCTGTTTCTTTATAGAAGTGTAGAATAAAGAAAGATAAATAAATGAGGAAGATAATTAAATCAGTAGATCAGGAATTGTTTCTTTGACTTTTCGCACAAGTAACCATTTATTTACCATTAATAAATTTGTTAATGACTATATCACATTTAGCTATTGTAACCATGACAACTAATGTTACACTAAGTTATTTGCTGGGTAAGTGGTGGGCTGCAGACAAGTAATAGCAACATTTGTTTTATGTCAAGCAGCAAAAATTACTTTTGAGCCGGCAGAAAGTAAAGGTGAGCATCATTTTGTAATTAACAATAATAAAGAAAGTATAACGCAGACAGCTACTGGGAACCAAGGCCATAACACAATATTGAAACCTGCAGTAGAACATCCATAAAAAGCTTATACTGCCAGATATTACAGTTATTAATACAAACCAGTTCAAAATGCCAGTTTCTACCGTTCCTACAACATACATGTTAAAAGTTGTAAATGCTCATATCCCTTTAAAGCACAATATAAAAAGTAAAAATTGAAGGGTAAGGGAGTACCAAAGTAGAAAATCTCCTGAATGGGGGTTATCCCCTAGTGCAAGAATATTTAATATTGTGCCGCCAGGCAAATTATTGTACCGCTTCATCTGCAGCGGGTTCACTTATTGGATTGAAATAATCCCTACAATTACACTATCTCCGTATTAACGGAGACGAGTTAGAACAAGTTATACTAATTAGTGTTCTTAATGTGTGCTCTTGTGGTTTTACTTTTTTAGTATTAAAAGTTAAGTTTTATGTTTAAAGTGGTACACACTATTTGTACCACTGACTGTCACCCTACCTTTTAATGGACTTACACTCTTCAGGACACTCTATCATAATTCCTTTTCTCCTGTTTTTTACAATATAAAGGTAGCATCCCTCCCATCAAAAAAAACAAAAACAAAAAAACCCTAAGCCTCCTTTCATTAAAGAAGGCTGAAGTCACCTTACCACGGCCCTTATTCCAATACCCAGTATGTGGAGGCTTGTATTCAGCCCCTCAGCAGTTAATCTGATAGCAAGCAGATGTTGCAAAAAGAGGAATCATTAAGTGCTCAAAATATTTTGTGTGTTGTGTGTGTGCCTAAATTGCATATTTTAGTCATCCATAGTGTGTTTGATTGTCGGATGAAGCAGATGCTTTGTATAAAGGTAGTAAATCTAATAAAATACTTTGTCTTAGTATATTTCCCCCATGGTCCTGTATATACTTTTGACTCCCTCTTCAACAAAGGTTTTTTTTTTTTGTTTTGTTTTTTATGTCTGCTCCAGTGGCTTCTTGTCACCTGAAATTGTGGTACATAGTCTTCCCCAGTATTGTATAATTACTGTGAACTATAGATGTGACCTCCATAATTGTGTTTGCGATCATGATTGTGTTTGTACTGCTGACCTCATTTACCTACTGTGGTGACATAACGCTATGAACTCAAAATGGAGTCCATAAGTAAAGCATTAATTCATCCTCCACTCTCACATATGTTCCCAAACACCGTATCATGAGAACCCCAAGCAAGTTTGAGGCTCACAGGCAATATAATTGGCAACAATTGTTCATTTTTTTTAAAACATCGTTTCATTGAGTTAGCTAAAGAAAAGGAGATGATCTATATCCCAACCAGGCTTAGGTTATTTTTTTGGCATCACTGCCATGTAAAAACCAAGTAATTGTACAGCACAATTTATTACTAGAATAATAATAATTTTTTAAAAACAATTTAGAACATTTATAGAAATTGCTGATTCATGTGTCAGGTTTTAAAAAAAAAAAAAACTTTATTGATCTATGCAACAGATATTAAGATTCTTTTTCATGGTTATTAAATAAAGTGAAAATTCAAAGTGAGTTTCAAATTTGAGGACAAAATAGCCAAACCACAAAAGTATATAAGTCAACTACTTTGGCTTTAAAGTGATACAATGAGCAATAAATCATTTTAGCCTAATGAAGCAGTTTTGGTATATAGACCATGTTCCTGCAGTCTCACTGCTCAATTATCCACCATGTAGGAGTTAAATCACTTTTGTTTCTGTTTATACAGTCCTAACCATACTGCCCCAAGCTGTGACTGACACAGCCTGTAGGAAAAAAGGTTTCATTTTCAGTCAGATATTCACTTGCTTTACAAGTTTTTATCTCCTGCTCTGTAACTTGAACTTTAAGCATACACAGGAGGCTCCTTCAGATTCTAGAAGGCTATTATCTTAACAGTCCAGGAGATAATAAATTCTAAATAAAACAGACTGTGCAATAAAGAAACCTAGAATATCTGGGTTTATTTACAGGAAGTATTTAGGAAGGCTGTGCAAGTCACATGCAGGGAGATGTGACTAGGACTACATAAACAAAAATGATTTAACTCCTAAATGGCAGTGAATTGAGCAGTGAGACTACAGTACACCAAAACTACTTTGTTACGTTAAAGTTGCTTTGGTGCCTATAGTGTCCCTTTAAATTTGAAGTTCACTTTGAATTCATTATTACTAGTGAATAGCCTTATCAGTTTCTTTATGTACTCTTCCTTCCCTTTTGTAGAACAATTGATATAATTTGTATATTTGATATGCAGTTATGAACTAATGTTTGTAAATATTGAGAGAAATCAATGGTTAGAATATAATATACTTAACTACATTCAAAATACACTTATAATGAAAATAAAGATTTTTTTGAAGAAATTCAAATAACTCACAAATAAAGAAAAAAGGTAGACAGTTCATCAACAAACCTTGTATATCACAAGTTACGAGTAAGTCTCTTTGTCTTATTTACAACAGACTAATAAAGCTGTGATCCCTTGGTGCATTGGATCACAGACTTGAAACCGTTCTTAGTTCATAGGTGAAAGCTGTGCGCATATATTAACATTTGATTGGATTTTGTTAGCCTACCATACAATGCTACTACTCACCAAAAGAGTGATGTGTTTACAACAACCTATTTCTCATTTCCATATGGGATGCATGGTTACTCATGGAAAATATCATCATGCTAATAGGAGGGGGAGCCCAACAAGTGCTATTTTATTCATACTGTCCAAACCTTCAGTTCCACTAATATAAGCTTGTTTTAGGTAATGTGAGATGACACCAGCAGGGAGATAATAGTACGGCCAGTGTTTCGTCTATTGTCTGTAGCGCCTTCCAAGAAACATTAGTCCAGTTATTAAGACATAGCTGTCCTTTTAGGCAACGCAAGAAATTTCATTACACTTAAATCTGAAAATACCATAGATAATAGTAAATAACTGTGACGAGACCAATCTCGCCACATTGCATTGGAGAAGCCTGGTTGCTTGCCTGTTGCCTTTGGATTATGGCCCCATGTTAAAAGCCTTCTTTTCCCCTGCAGAAAAGGCTTATTCATGCCTTTCTGCCCGGTGTTCGGTAGATTCAATCTACCGAAGTAACGCACGAATGACTGGACCACCTGGGAGCTGGAGTGTGTCGGCAATTAACCTCCCAGAAGCTGCGGTTAACCGCGGCTTAATTGACGAATGCTGGGTGGCCGCCATTCGTATACCGAACACGAGGTCGCAGCCATTTTAAAAACGCGAACGCACAGCGGTGTTCGACACCCAACTCATGGAACTGAAAACGGATACATTTTGGCGCGAACACCGCTGTAGCCACCGACCTCCCTTCTTATTCGGTAGACGTGCACGAACGGCCCTATATTCGGTAGTTGTACCCGAATACACCATACCCCAGATAGGAATTCAGTGGAGCTCATTCGTATGAATACTGACTTTGTGAACACTTTGGGTCCACGGCGATTGAACTGTGTGCATAGGATCTGAGCGCTATTTGGTACTTTGGTGCGCTCAGATTCTAGCTATCCGGGGACATGTTGAATGCCTGCAAAATGTTGTAAAATATAACAGTTATGTATTTTTATGTCTTTTTGTTATTGTCATCTAAAATGGCGTTTAGGCTCTCTCCTGGGAGATAATTGAATTACTTCACAATTATCTCCCTGAGCAGAGCAGAGGGTTCTGGGTGAGAAAAGGGGAATGGCTAAGTGTGTACCCTGTGATTGGTTGCTACAATGTCTTTGTCACAGTCTTCCATCTGGTCCCCTAGGGGAGTGTCCACCAGGTGGGAGACCTGCATAAATACCGGGCAGGTAGCCCTCATTAAACAGACCACTGCTTGACCCTCAACACGGAGCTCTGTCTCGTTCTTGGGGGGATTTACTGTATGATGATATAGACTGATTGCTAGGAGTGTAAGCCGCTTGGGTGCTTTTCCTATTCAGCTGCTTGCAGCTATTCGTGAGGTTCCAGTTCGGGAGTTTGGAGTGCTATTTTGTATGCAGTTCGGGAGTTTGGAGCATTCCCTTACATGCGGTTTGGGAGTTTGGTGTTCTGCAGTAGCTGTGCCTGTATCTCTGGGAGGGGAAGATCTACTAAACAGCGGTTTAACCCCTTTTATGCTCAGGGTGCCGTTACAATAACCTTATGGCAAATTGTGTTTTTTAAATAATCATAATCAAGTGATGATGCACATATTTAATGAATAATTGTTTATGAGCACCAGCTGTGGGGCACTTTCAGCAGGTATCAAAGAAACTTACAGTCAAGATCAATTGTAGATTATCTGTGGTTTACCCAAACTGGGATCAGAAATATTTAATTTTGGTGGGAAAAAATCACCAAATGCCATTTCTACTACAAGTCGCTTTAGTGTATACCCTGTGTGTTTGAGTCTATAGAAGTTGTATAAAAAGTGACGCACACTGCCTCGTTATAAAACTTTTAAAACACAATACAGGCATTTGCAACATTAATGCCACTAGTAGTTATCTGGAAAAGTGCTGTTAAAATGGTAACAAATTCTAGCACAAAATACATAAAAATAAAAACTAAGCACTAGACTGTGACAAAATGAAAAGTCATAATTATCCGTCACAATCACAGTAGTGAAAACACTTCTACCGCAACAAAGCTATAGAATGGGAAAAAGTGGGGTTTTTTTTATACTTCTGTTAGAACGATGTTTTTTTTATACACAACTCTACTTTAGGTTTCATACATGTAAATGAATATAAAATGAACAATAATCTTAAAAGCAAATTAATTAGTGTATAAAGGGCAAGAAACTATTTACCTAAAGAAAACAGATATAACTATTCAGATCCAGAATATATATATAGTAGAATGAGCCTTTTAATGTATTTTATGATTATTTTATTCAGTGTGCTTATATTTTGTATTTTATACTGTACAGTTATATTATCTTTTTCTGTCTTCCCTACAGAGTGAGAAAATCCATCCCACAAAACCAGGATTGCTAAACGTGCAATTACTAAAGGTGATTATGGAGAAGAATTTTAGGAGTCACACTGGGTCACAAGAGAAGAGACAACATGTATAATATTAATTATAAAACACATTATATACCATAGATAACAATGTATTCTACAAGAGAACTGAGGACATACTGGAGTGTTCTAGGGAGAGGTACGATCTATAGAGTATAAGAATGTGCTACAAATATTCTGCATTAGGAGTTACTGACCAATTTCAGGTGCTATAGAAGTTGTAGGATTTGTATACAGGAAACACAAAGGAGAACAGGCAATTGGCAATAGAAAGAGTTACATGAATGGATGGACAGTGTCAGACAGTCAGACCTGTGACTACTATACTGAAGATTTAGTGCACAGAAGATGTGACTGCTCTCTGTGATGACTTTTCTCTGTCATGTTAATCCAACCTGGACCTCCCACCACGGGAGCGCTCATCCATATGACATCCTACTGAAAGAAGCTGCAGCTTACAAGTGATTTCAGGATTTCAAGGGGTCTGAGCCATGGATAAAACTCCAGTCTTGCTCTCTACAAGGATTAAAGGTTTTACTCTGCTATTAACTCATTTTCTGCCTGAAATTGAAAGCAGGCATTCCTGAACCCCTAGGCAGTTACATGTGAAGTAGGGTCTGGTAAATAAAGTGTCAATGTTAGGACATAAGCAAATGCCATTTATGCAACAAGACAAGTTCTGATTCCAAGTGCCATTTTAATCTACCCCATACAATAAGAGTGATCAAAAGGTAGATATCCAGAGGAGGCACAGTCCATATTTTGGATCCAAATCCCTCTGCCCATGTTTTATATCGTAATGCTCCTCTCTTCTAGAAGCTCCACATTGTTGGTGTGTCTAAGTGTATAAAAGAGCTCTACAGAATTAATACTCACAGTAATGTGTCTTTAAACTACAATAAATGAGTTTAGAAATCAGTCTGTGAGCACAAGATACATTGTTCTTGTGCTAAATGACATTTTCGTTTCATAAACATTTATAAGTAAGTCACCAAAAATGGCTCAGAACATAACATCCCCTGGCCACACCCCCACTGACACTCTTAAAATGAAAGTGTCCCTTTTTTGTCCACTTAAAATCCTGGTAGGTGTGCCAGATGTTGTAGAACTACAGCTCCCATAATGCTTTGCCAGCTTCAAAGCAACATAGTAGTAGTTGCTCTACAAAAATCTGGGGATCCACCTTTTGGCCACCCTAACATACAGCCTTTTTAATGGTACTTGTAAATGCGTAGCACAACATATTGTGCATTTAGCTTTTTAGAAGAAATAGCACAATTAAAATGCAATGGGGATATTGACCTTTACCATGCATGAGATGGTAAAACAAGGAGTCGAACAACTAAGTGCTTTCATATGAAAGGAAAATTCATGAAGCACTTGGAAGCAGCCATAAACTCACTAGTAGTTAGTACATAAAAACTCCAATTAACCAGCTAATTATGTGCTGAAAAGCATCTGGTCTAATGACACAAGAAGCCGTAAAGACGAGGAGTCCATAAAAGAGCGAGAAGTTCTTAGCCATAACGTGGAACCATCTTTAAGCAGTTTGTCAATTTAATTGGCTAATCTAATTAACTAGGCAGAACAAAAGTCTTTCTTTGTTTCCTCCAAATATACACATTCTGGTTTACCAAACACAATGAGAGATACAAACACATAAGAGAGAGAAGTGTAATTGATTAAATAGACTGTTTATTTTACACCCTCAGGTATGAGGCCAAAGATAGCAGTGCCAGATCATACTTGACAAGCACAGGCTTAACTGGAGGTATGAAGAAGAGATCGCCATGTTTAAAGAACACTGGTGGGAACATTTATAAGGACTATTTTGATTGCAAAATAAGAGCAGTTTTGGGGAATTTTTTTTAAAGTTGAGCAATTACAATGGAATCCAATGGATTGGTCTTACTGATTACTCTCCTTTAGAATTATGCTCCCGAATCGGACATTAGATATAATTATGTATGGACAGATAGCAAGAGAAATATAGGCCAAAAGATTAGATGTAATGAAGATTGAGGTTAATAATCCCCATTGTGTAACAAGCTATCTAAAACAAAGTAGGGGAACATTTCACAAATTGCCTTTTCTTATCCAACACAAAGGCGATAGATATTTCAACAAACCATCAGCCTGAATAAGGTATGCACTTACTAGGACAAACATAGGCAGCAGTTTTTAAACTGCAATCTTTAAATTCTAAGCTAGAATGGTGGGAGTCACAGGACGACAAACACTCGGTTTCCACACATCTTGTTTCAGTTCATTGATTTAATACACATAATTCATAATCAAAGTCCTCCTTTTAAAATCACTTAGAAATGGAAATTGACTTGCCTTCTCTGTTACATTGCAAGATCTATGAATTTTAGATTTTTCCATCGAAAACGCACACTTCCCTTTTTTTTGAGAGAGTTTAGGTTACTGTCCTGTCAAAACAATACTTGAGTTCTTGAGACGATTCCACATCACACCTTAACTCATAGCTATGACAGCCTCGAACCAGTTGGCATATTAATAAGCATTAACCATAGAAGCAGACATGAAGGTCATATAATTGTAGAATTATTGGAAGAACTGTACTATTCGACCGTGGGTGACACAAAAGCAACATTATTGGCATTGAGTATATCATATGCCATTTAGGAAAAAGAATACTTCTGTTAAAAATATAATTGTCTACCAAATTCTTTGTTCACGCATCAAAGTGCAATTATTTTGCATAATGAATAGCTTATTATTGGAAGCTGTGGAAATTTAAAGAAACTGGGGCACTAAACTCTAACCCAAAAATGTAACTCTGCCCCCTGGCTTGTTGTTTTTTCTCATTTACCCCCATGTATTCAAACCCTGATCCAATGAGAGGTCATGTTCTGTACAGCACCATAAACCTTCAGGAAACAACTAATAGTCTAAAGAGGTCAAACTCCACCCCTGATGCTGTTAGCCAATGGCAGCCCAAAGAAGACTAAATAATATGCAGGTCAGTCCTTTATTGTGTCTGGGATCAGATGACCCAATGCAAAACTAATGGGTGATGTCAGAAATCCAGACTAAGGATATCTGAGAGGTCTATACCAAACAAAATTGGTAATTTTTGAAAAATACTCAAAATCTTGACAAGATTAGTTGTCTAACCTATTAGCATTATCTCCTGCCATCAATGAGGTGGAAGAGGGGGGTGGGGGGTGGGGGGGAACTACAGAACTAATGGCAGACATACCCTTTTTTTCCTTCTAAAGAACACTTATCATTAGACCTTACCACCACAATAGATTTGAATTTTATTTATTGCAACAAAAACTGGAGGTCACTGTCCTACCTGTCGATACTGGTGTCCTCATGCTCTCTTTAACACAGACAATCTTTACAAAACAGTACACTCCAACATGTGTATTGTGTTATGAACATTAACAGAAACAATTCTAAAAACAGAAAACTACAAGGTCCCTATTAACCCCATAAGGACACATGACGGAAATATTCAGTTTGATTCCCTTTGATTTCTGAAGTTGTGTCCTTAAGGGGTTAATATCTCCATCTCAACATTTTTCTAGTTTTTTGAGATTTGTTCCTGCAATGGTTACATTTCTGATTGAAGAAGACAGCACTAAAATTTCCTTGTAGCTTATTGCTTCCGAACAGATTCAGAAAACTATTTTCAGGGCATTAACTAGTTTATAACATCACATGGGATCTGCATAGTTCCCCAGAATGCAAAGTAAGCAGTACCTGTGATGAATGAAAACAAACCATGTTCACTTTATGGTATTTGCTTCTGTGTATTAAATGATGAGAACCACATAAGAGTACATGAGGTTGGAATATGGCAGTGCACTTCTGAGGCCCATGTATTCACACTATTGGCATTGACAGTGGATATTACTCCATCTTGGTATTTTTAGCAGAGAAAATCACTAGAGAGCTTATCGTGGTATCCAAGGACATTTGCAGATCTTGAATAAGAAGGTCTAGTTTTCAAACTGGCTAGCTTTATGCTAGGACATCCCATTGTGAAGCCTCCCATAAAGGGAGGTACGCACAGCAGTTTTCCTACAACAGACACCAGCACTATAGACTCACGTTGTAGGTCACCTTAGTAAATGGGGAAAAAAATACTGTGAAGTGGATAGTGGTAATAAACAAAGAGGTGGTGACACGGGATTGTCCACTGTCTGTCATTTTGTCATGCTAAGCACTGCAGTCTAATTAGACCCTCTTTTCACTCACTCATCTCTTGTAACTCGAAAGTGCTAAACATTCTGGATTAGGCTGAAATGCAAACAGCAATAAAAGCAGATGCTCACAGTCCCTCGGAGCTCATTTGTATGCCTTTAACCTGGTGATAGACATTCCCACTAAGTCTGGTTCGTGGGAAATGGGGGAATGTGTCACTTCCTCATCATGTTCTATCCATCTATATGTTAATGACAGATCTGTACAAAGTAATGTGACTAGATAAGGGCTGTATTGGAATCAGCCTAGCTTCATTCATTTCTCAAGCCCTTCTCAATACAAAAGTCACTCATCGTCAAGATTATATTTTTCACCTTAAATATATATATATTTTTTATATTTAATATAATGTATAAAAATAGTTCACCTTTATATATTTATATAAATGACAAATTGCACTTTATGTAGCATGAATATAATATATGCAGAAATAAAGATATATTTTAAAATCCAGAGTGGCTATTTCTGTTTTTTGATATTTTATTTTTTTTCGTATCATGATACAAATGCATGTCCTGCTGTCTTAGTACATAACACAGTTTAGCTGGTTTATGGATTACTGGTAGTTATTCACTAAAGTGAGAATTCATGGTGAATATACAGTGATTTTTTAAAAAATGCTCTCAGTCAGCTATGCTTTCAGTTTAGCTACTTTGGCCTTTGAAATTCACTGTAAACTTTCCCTTTAGTAAATAACCATATCTCCCCTAGTTTGCCTATATGAACTAGTTTCTCTGTATTGTCTTCCTTCTCGCCTAATCTCTCACTCCCCCAGTCCGATTCACAGTCAATGTCTCTTGCTACCCCTGTGCCATGCACACTTTCTATGCATTTATTCCATACCCACTGTCATTTTCCATTCTGTGCTCTAATCTCTCCCCCGCCTCCCTCATTTGCAGAGCCACTTGCTGTGCACCTGCCTTCCCTCCCCAACCCCCCACCTACCCCCTTGACTCCTCCAGGAGCCTGAGAACAAGCAGGGCGTTCAGCTCCCAGCACCTTTTTAGAATCACCCATGAGAAGAATTGTCCCCGAGGAGAGGCCTGCTGTCACCCAGTGTCTGGGACATCATATACGCAGGACCTGGGGATGGATTGCACAGAATTATCAAATTAATATATATTATTGACTGAAACAGCTTACAAATAATAGGTGGATAAAAAAAATACAAAGTGCACAAATAGACATTATCACGCACGACTGAAATATAAACAGGTGAAAAAGGCACGTACAACTGAAAAGAGAACCGATGGATCTTAAACTTTGAAGAATCCATTCTGCAACTTACTAATACAATCTTTGGAGCAATAATATAAAAGCTAAAAAAATAAATAAAAATACAGACTTTAGTATTTGCCCATAGTTAATATCCGGATTCCCAAGTTCGAAAACAATTTTTTTTTTACATGTGTGTTCAGAAAATCTAATTGACAAATTCAAAAATTTAAGCTGTAACAGCTGCGATGCCAAGGGACAAACAGAGAACAGCTGAGTTTGGAAAATATTAATATTTATTAGATATTTTTACACTGCGGGTTTGTTTTTCTTAAGATTTCTTAATGGACACACATATAGAAGTGAAGGCATTAAAACACACAATAATTTATTATAAATCAAGCATAACACATTTAAATATTTTTAGATTATTGTATTTATTTTTTTAAATATTTCATTTAGGGAACCAAATTATTGTCTGATGATAATTAACTTAATAAAATACCAGCGAGAATGTTTTTCATAAGACTAGTATATCAAGAAGGATTAAACTAAATGTTGATTTCTATTTTTTTTTAAATCTAATTGTTGTAATATTTATTTAGATTTGTCCATACAAGGCCAGGTTCTCACACTCGGGAGGTTATCCTTTCATTGTGTATTCATTATTTCATCGTAAATTGTTATGTTATCATCAATTTTTGAATTGTAATCTATTCATCACTGCATAAAGCATGGACACAATAGATATAATTATGTATGGACAGATAGCAAGAGAAATATAGGCCAAAAGATTAGATGTAATGAAGATTGAGGTTAATAGGTCTCTTCTGATAAATATATTCCGCATGGCTGCAGTTTACATAATTGATCCCCTCTGTATGCATTTTTCATAAGTGGAAGGTCTGGCCATTTTTTTTGTCTTCTTAAAGAGGCTTAAAGAAGAAAGGCTCAGTTATTTTCATTAAAACCAAAAAAATCTTGATCAAACCTGAGTAATTTCAATGCATCGGGGGGAACACCAGTTTGATAGCACAAGTTCAAAGGTTAGATTTAAAGTAAGGTCATACTTTGTTATTAGATCAAATGCAAATATGATAGCACTGTCCCACCAGAACAAATCTATGCTAATCCCGGGGTTGTGTGCACAGCAATTATGGAGATATTACCACGATTGCTGTCCCCATTCCCACACAGATTAGCTGCTTTCTGGTGCACAAGCATTTTTTACTAACTGCCACAGCAGCCAACAGGATTTCCTGACTAATGCAACTAATCGACCCCTGTGTGGATTAAGAGAAGCAGCTGAGGCCAGGAGCAGTAGGGGTGCTACCAGTTAGCTCAGCTGCCAAGGGTAAGGCCAAAAGAAAATGTAATGAAAGGACACTAATGCCCTTTCGAAATATATCGAGACAAAAGCAAGAGATAAAAATTGAGCATTATAAGAGATGGATTGCATAGATACATAGTAAGTTAAACATTAATTTCCCTTGGATCAAATGGTCAAAATAATGGCTGCGTCTGACGTTACATAACACTGTATTTCATAACAAATCACATGGATTTATTGGTCAAGTTACCGGTTTTAATCAAATAAGATCCATTTAGAATTTATAAACAGTATCATCACGTCACTGGAATACTTGCAATTTTACAGAAAGCCAGATGTACAGTTAAGAGTTTTGGGTGACATCTAGTGGCCAACTAGATAACTACTGAAACCACAAAATATAACTACATGATTTAATATCAAACCATTCATTTTTCTAACCAACTAGAATACGGGTGTGTTCACAGTCATACACGGTAACTTTTCATTTAACAGCCCACCTCACTCTTCGTTATAAAAGTGTTATATATCTATATATCAGCACCGGGATGAGCAGTAATGCTTCGGTAGATAAAATGAGTACCATTAAACTGGGTAATGGTAACATCCCCTGGATGTTGGGCAAAAGTAACATCCCCAGGACGTACTTGGAAACCAGAGTAATCTGAATGAACCTTTCCTGCTTAAATACTTTGTTATTATTATTATTATTATTATTATTATCTTGAGATCAGCTTTCATCAAACAGCACAAAAACACATTTAGAAAAGTTCAAAAAAACAGAAGTAATGGGGCTTTCTGTTTGCCTTGCTTGTGGTTATAAATCTAAAAAGAGTTCAGTTGCTATGGACAAGGGCAACTATAGTAAAATCAGGAATAGGCCAAGAAAACCAGATTAAATTGGAGTTTTTATAAAGACCAAAGGGTCAGCACAGTAAGTGGAGTGGTCAGGAAAGACAAGATTCTGATATCAGGACTAACGAGAAGCAACCCAAAATGAACACAGCGGAAATGGAAACATTTAATTAGGCAAAACAAGTAAATGGGGTTGAGAAATAGTGGTGAAGGTATTATAAATCCATGTAAAACATACCAAAAGGGTAAGATGCACACAGATGATGCAACCACTGACATGAGTATGTGCTAAGATTATTCTATAGAGCACACCTTCAGGTGTTGCAATGATTCAAAAGAAGGAGTGGTGCATGAACAAGATGCAAGGATAATCAAGAGGATTGGGTAATCTGACAAACAACATTTGTTCTGCACAAACATGGCGATATGGTAATCCCTAAGAAATAAATAATAACCAGAATCTTTTAAAAACGTGTGTCATTCTTGTGACTTAAAGGAACACCCTAATCACCATAATAACTAGTGCCCTTACTGCCAGGAGTGCCCCTCTTGACCTCCTGACTTTCTGCAGAGGAAGTGAACAGCACCCACGGGATCCAGGTCAGTGTTTATACCATTTGTCTACTTACATTGGGATGGCACCATTGCTCGCTGAAGAGTTTATGGAGCTTGAAGTGTCTTTCGGCAACACGCTCTAATAACCTAAGCCACAATCTATTCTTATTTAATTTTTGTCTACTATCCCAAAAATAAGGGACCTCTTGAGTCAATTTTGCAAAGCCACAGCAGTGCTTACTTTTACAAACCTGCATCTAACCTCCAGACAGATGACCACATAAGTGAACATTCAAGTTGTATTTAACTAAAACCGGAATGACAAAACTTAGACAATTAGCTGACTTGGAAAATTCTCCAACTCAGCTAAAGTCACAGCTATTTTAACCTTAATTACGCAACTTGGATTCCAATTTTCTACAATTAAGAATTTAGGGAATATTTACTCATAAACTGGTTTATTTTGGCCTAAAGTTTGCAATTTGATTTTCAAGTCACCAGAGTTCAATGTTTAGCGAATAAACCCATGTCTCAAAAAAAATGTGTTACATTCTATCTATATTTCCTTGCCGAAGCAAACATTTTTACATTTCTGTCAGGTATTTTTGTTGAAGCAGTCTGGCAAACCCAACGTAGCGTTTGACAGAATATGCTGGAGCTTTTTAAATATTTTATTCAACAACTTCTGGAATAGAAATGCTGCCATAGTGATTATCTGAGTGCATATCAGTTTACATACAATAGTGGGACAAATCCATACACAGGGATTACCCGTTGAGATTTCAGCTTAGACAGGTTATTACTGGCCCAGCAGGTTTCTAGCTCTCTGCTGTTTTAAACACGATCGAAACATTGACTATACAGCCTGCTAAGCCATATTGGGAGAGCTATGCCTATGCCTAAAGGTACACTCCTGACCCCTAAAGCACTTCAGCTTGCTGAACTGCTTTATTTGTGAATAGTGTGTCCTCTTTTTTTTCATTTTCCATAAAATGCACTCACTCATATTTGGTTTATTTTCTACTGTAATGGACCACCTGGCACACCAACTGGGTACCTCTGTCAAGTTCGCTTCCTAGCTCTACTCTGAGACACAGGAGTGCTTCAGCCCCTAGCAGGGCCGGACTGGGAACTAAAATCAGCCCAGGAAAAAAATTCTATACCAGCCCAATAATGCGTTGCGCCAGCATAGTGTGCTGATATAGAGGGTGAAAAAATAACTTGAAATTGAAAACTCTTACTCCAACGAAGGAACGCATATAGGGATTCAAAATAAACAAAAGAGCGCCTTTATTTTAAGTAGACGTACATTTGCATGTAATCAATGTTTCAGTACAACTACTTTGGCCTATTAAGGACATTTTAGCAATGGTACTGAAATGCTGAATATCTGCAAAAATGAAAAAAAAAGTGATCTGGTTAATTTTGAAGT